CACGACTGCTTCGAACATCAGTGCTTTTCAAGCGCGGGTGTGTAAAAAAAAATAAAAATCTTAGAGCTTCTTGGGACGACGTGAGCCAAAGCAAAAAAGGCCAACCAGAGAGGGCAACACGCTCCTGGGTTGGCCGGGCTACAGCGGCTACGTCCTCCAAAAATCAGAGCCTCAAAGGTTTCATCCAAGGCGCCCCTTTCCAGCATCCGCCCGCCTTCAACGCAAAGGCCACGCAAGGGTGGCAGTGACCTTCGCAGTGTAGCTTCCACTTCTCCAACTCCTTGGCTTCACACCCGCTGCTTGTTTGAGGCGCTGCCGGGTATCCTTCTCTGGCGTTGGTTTCAAGGTGAACCACACCCAAGCCACCGTGCCCTAGCTCGCCCATGGTCGCTCGCGCGCTGGAACGCAAGGCCTGTTGCAGGCCCAGTCGGACGATCTCCGGACGCATTGCTGCGCCCAGAAGGATTGTTTGCGCGCACACACAAACAAACAAACAAACAAATATTGCTGATCCCACTGCTATCACGTCCCTCAGAGGAAAGCATGCTGGCAGTCTGCTCAGGCAAGTCGAACAGCGTGACTTGCAACACAAATCAGGGTCTCAGCTTTTCCAAAAAGTCGGAATCTGGCACAGGCCTGGGTGGGGTGGAGGGTGCTTCATTTTTAGTGATGCTTCAACACCCCCATGCGCGAGCTTGATGTAGGGTACCGATATTTACAACCAAACTTGGCGTCTGGGGTGGGGGAGCTGTTGCCCTGAAGGATGGGATGAGGCGTGTGGGGTGGGGGTGTCCATTGCTGTCTGTGCCTTTGTCGCATCCTGGCCCTCAACGGCCCGAGGCAAACAGCCTTGCGCTTTGCGCGCGCTCCCTAATTTCACTCTGCTTTTTCCCCCTAGCTTGCGTTCTACTACCAGAAATAGACCCTCGGTATTTTTTCTGGTTGCCCGCGACCCCCCATTGGGGACCCCAGTCTCGCTCGCGGTATTGACTGCGCGTACGTGTGTGTTTTATGAGGAATTCTTCCCAGAATGAGACGCCAAAGCAGCTCCAATTGTCCAAGGCTCTGTTGGCTTTGGTTCTGCTTCCGGTACTGTGACACCTGGCGCTTGGGGAGCTGTCCAACGATGAGGTGCGTCTTGCAATGTGAATGGCCCTCTAGGGGCCCTCTAGGGGCCCTCTAGGGGCCAACAAGAATTGGTTTGTGCGGAAAAATTATCAATGGTTGTCTTCCTACAAGTTGGCTCTGCGAGGAGTTTGATCCCATTGCTTACGGCGTGCGGACTTTGTTTCAAGTTCAAGGGCAGACCAGCATGCGCACCTTCTGGTAGTGACTTGTCTAGTTTAAGTACGGCGCGCAAAGAAGCACCAGGCGTGCCGGCAAGTAGTCTCTTGAAATGAGCGTGGCCGTACCTGCCGTGCTTGTAATAACTGTACTTGGTATTGTTGAATCTCCCATTTCTGCTCTTACAGCTGCCATGAACTCAGATGCTGAGGGTTGTGTTCGATGGTGTCCTTCAACGATGACATGAAGCATTTAAGAAGGAATTCCGGGCGTTCTTTGAAGAAGCTGGGAACAACTGCAGACAAAGACATTCCGGGCTCCCTTCATGTGTCCTGACAGGGTTCAGAGCATGTTCAAGCAGAAACAAGTGTGAAAACATCTCCCAGTTCATTACTAGCTCTTCACACGCGAACCAAACCCCCCGGTCTGAAGCCTGAAGGATTCCTAGTCAGCCCTGTTGCACCCATTGCCTGCGATTCCCCGTTCCTCCGGGCCTTTGGACACCGGCCCCTGGCTGCCCGAAGCAAATGGCCACGACCTGCAGTTCCGAGACTGGAAAGCAAAAGAGAGCAGGTCGAGGTGCAGTGTGCCCTTTGTGGGAACTGTACCGTCCACCCAAAAGCCGAAACAGTAAACTGCACGGCTGGAGCAACATCAATGCAACAAGGAGACTGGCGAAGACAGCAATGCGACATGCTGAAGCATCAAGAAGCTAGAATGCTCAGCCAAGCGCCAAGAATTGACCCAAAGCGAAACCCAACGTATACCAAGTTGAAGGTAAAGACGGCTTGTTTGAGAGTGCTCACCCATCTGTCACAAGCCCTTCACATCTCAGGCTATGGTTGAAGCCGAAACAATGCACCATGCGCCAAGGTAAAAAAAAAAAAAGAAGAAGCACCCCGAACACCTTCCTCCGACCAAAAATCACAAACGCAACATCCACCTCAAACAACATCCTGTGCCAAGAAACAAAGTGGCCGCAGAAGCGGCAGGCTTTGCAGTAGTTTCTGGCTGATTTGCTTAGCGTTGCTCTCCAAATAGCTGCAAGATGTAAAACAGGAGCCTGGGATTGCTATTTCTAAAAGGAAAAGAAAGGTTCGATTTGTTCCCAGAGAACTCAAGCAGCCCGAGATCGCGAACCCTGTGTAGTTGGGGAAGATGCTCGTGTTCAGCCAAGATCGAAAGTCCGGCGCCTCTCTTCACATTGCCAGGCCGCAGCCAGCCTGTCCAGGTCCGCAAGGGGCTAGGGGGACGGGATGCTCGTTTCAGCTTTGAGCCAGGGTAGCCGTGGCTCAAACAAATGCAAAATGGCACCAAAAGGTAAATGGAACCAAAGACTACCTGCGGTTTGCCCTAGCTCTGGAAAATTTTGAGCCACACCCAGGTGACATGTTGAATGGCGAGCTAAGAGAGCACCAGAGACTGAGGGCAACTCATCTTCTCAGACTGACAAAGGGAAGTGTGTTGGGTGTCAGGGCTATGACCACCATATAAAATTGTCTCTTTGCGCAGATGCGCTTGCATCACCATGGCAGTGCTCTCTGAGGCGCCCATGCTTGCAAACGCGAAGCAGAAGCTAAACAGCATCAAAATCCCAAACAAAAGCTAGAACAATTCTATTCCGAATGGAGCACAAATATATCAAACCTACTCGCAATTCCTAAACCTCAACCAATGCCAACCAAAGGGTCCTCAAGTGCTCCAAGAGGCCAGACTTACCTGCTTCTGGCTGGTGGGCTCTCCAGTCTCTGTCGTTTCAAAGAGAAAATTGGCTGCCCTGACTCCCACATCAACCAACGGTCAAGCTTCATTCTCCCAGGGTGGTTTGGTGGATTTGCCGCCCCGGCAAACTAAATCCCAAGAGTTCCTGGCACAGCCTGCCAGGTGCCGGTAGCCCAAAGCTTTCAGTGAGTTGGGCGAGGTTCCTTGCGTTGAGCTGCCTGCGCTGCAATCGGCATGATGCACCAACTTGGCATGATGTGACCGACTCCTCAGCACAACGCCAACATCTGCCGGCCAGTCTTTGCACCTGATCCTCTATTATCCAATTGCAAGTGCCGTCGTCATCATCATCATCATCATCATCATCATCATCATCATCAAGTGGGTGCTTCCATCGTTGACCCTTCCAAAAGGTAGGTTGCCTTTGACTCTCGGTCCGTTCGCCTTCGTGTCTCAAACACATCGGGTCTGTGTCCAGCTTTTGCTTTCCCGGCAGCCGAGCGTCGATGCATGTCCGGGCTCCACGAAAGGGGATTGGGGCATGGCAGCGTATGCGAAGTTGCCGGCCGCGATAGCGGCGTGCCCTGGCGCAACTGTTCTTCCACCCACCCGCATGTTTCCCTGTGACCATCATGTAAGGCATCAACAAAAGGTGCTAATGTAAAAAAAAAAAAAAAAAACTAAAGATTGAGAAAACTTATTACACATCAAAGACAACTTACTGGGCGCCGATTTGCTGCAAAGCCAGTGAAAAGACTGGAAACTGCGGCATCAACAAAAACGTATTAGGCAGCAAAGGGGCAATGCTGGGGGTTTCCTTGCTCTAGATTTTATTAGGTGTGGGTTTACTGCGAGTTGGATTAGGGTTGTTTGGCCAAGGGTAGGTTTGGGGTGGGTGTTGAGGCGGGTGTTGAGGTGGGTGTTGGGCGGGTGTGGGGTGGGGTTTACGGCGGGTTTGGGGTGGGTCCTACCCCAAACCCACCTTACATCGACCCTAAACCCAAAACCAAACTCAAACCCGCCCTAAACCCACCCAACAAAGTCTAAACAAGGCAGCCTCTGAAGCCCAACAAGTTGTTGTTTGATGCCGCAGTTTCCAGGTGTTTTACTGCTTTGAAGCAAACTGGTGCCGATGCAATTGGTGGGCGGCGTCCTGCAGTCTGTTCAAATGACTCCTGGCGAAGTCGCCAACATGCGACCAACCGCACAAACAAAGCGTCCAACAAAAGCCGTAAGTCCAGCCAGCCGCGAGAATCCCTGCAAGAAAGCAAAACTTCGACTGCTCAAGGCGCAAGCCAGCCTGTCAGCATGTCTGGCACGAACTCGGATATGCAACCTGGCTCACGGCAAGGCTCACCTCCCGGGCGCGCGCCAGAATTGATTGGACCTGTCCGGAAAGCGTGCATCCAGTCAGCCGGTCAGCCGGTCAGCCCACGGACTCACTCAATTGGCCAGCCACGAGTTCCTGGAACTTGGTAAACATCTCATGCCTTTTCCGCGGGCTGACCTTCGGCACCTGTCCAGCAGGATCCTTTTCGCACAACTGCACACCTGCCTCGAGCTGAGACCCGGCGGAGGCGCGAGCATTGCCTTCCTTTCCCAATCGAGAAGTCCATGCTCTCTGAATCTGTCACGAGGGATGCGAACTTGGGGGCAAGCTGGTGTGTCGCCCGCCAACACGCAGGTTTGCTAGGACGCAGGAACATGCACATTGCCGTCAATGGCAGCGGAGAGCGCACCATGTTCACAAAGACTTGCTGCTATCAATGGGCAAGTGTCTTTGCTAGGCGTATTCTTTCGGCACGAAACCCCAGCCATATGCTAGCTTGGCCACATAAAAAAGGCCCTCTGAAGGAGCCTGCAGTTGACAGCTATTTGATTTTGCTGCCAAAAGGCTTGCACGTGTTTGATACGCTGTTCACCCCGCACGGAACATTCGCCACACGGAGTAGCACTGGATCCCAGCGCCCGCCGTAGCAAACAAGACGTGCCACGTAAATGTAGGCCGCAACCGGCAGAGCTGCTATCCTGCGCACAAGCTGGGACAGAAAGAGATGTGCTTTCTCTGACAGGGTGTTGCAAACCAACGGCAAAGGGTTTGGATGCGCGCGATGGCCAGCAATTCCTTGACCCAACGAAAGCACTGAATTCAAGGAGTCAAATGGTCTCGCACGAAGACCTGCAACAATTTGCCCAGGCCAAGCACGTGTTGGGCACATCAAGCGGCATAAACAAAAGATGTTTGCTCTGCAAATGCATGCACAGGCGGACTTGCATGTCGCACTGGCCCTCCCACGGCAGGAGTCTTGCTAAGCCAAATTCGGCTTCGGGGGAAGGCAACCAATTCTTAAAGGGGGTGGTTTCTGAGCTCAATACCTCCAGCTAAGCCAAAGGATTGCTCAGTTGCCGCTGTTGCTGACGCTTCTGACGCTGCCGTTGCTGAGCCTAAAGCTGACGCTCTTGCTGCTGGCACTGCTGTGGCCACGGCTGCTTTCTGTGTCAGAGGCGCATGCTCTGCTTAGTCGCGCTGGCAGCGAGGGATCAGAGAAGCCAGGCCTGATGAAAGTTCTCTCAAGGCCCATCGCTCAGTGAGCGGTTTCCCCCGGTTTTCCCTACCAAAGCCAAGACGTCAAAGTCCCAAGCCGGGATCCAAACCACCAACCCGACGGGCTCCCCGACTCCCAGCGCCGCCATTTCTCATTTGTCTCCTCGGCGCAGGGCCGACGATGATCTGTGCCACCTCCAGGCTCCCCGGGAAGCTCTTCAGCGACAGGATCTGGAACGTGCGGACGGCAATCCCAAGCAAACGTGGGTATGTGTCAAAGGGGCGTGCCAAACGTGGTAGCGTGCCTTTTGAGTTTCCCTTCCTTTACACCAAGGTGAAAAGGTACCCTGAAAAAACACACAGACACAGACACAGACACAGACACAGACACAGACACAGACACAGACACAGACACAGACACAGACACAGACACAGACGCAGACGCAGACAGACACAGACACAGACACAGACACAGACACAGACACAGACACAGACACAGACACAGACACAGACACAGACACAGACACAGACACAGACACAGACACAGACACACACACACTTAAACTCCAGATGGAGGGTGCTAATCTTTCGAGTACAACTGATGAGTCTCGAGCGCAACTGACGAGGCTCGAGTACAACTGACAAGTCTCAAGTCGGATAAGGTTCGGCTGGCAGGTCACTTGGCTTCACTCTAGTGTCGAAAGCGTTACAGGTTCAACATGAAGCACACACAGCGGCAAAAGAAGCGGCCAACTGGACTTTCATCAACATCACTTCACAAAAGCAGGTACACACGGGTGATCAATCCGTGCATCCACCATCAAGCATAGCTTCGTTGGCCAGCGTTTGCTTGATGGCCGCTGGCCCCCTGCTACTAATTGTGGTGACAGGGTATTCTGCCACTCCGCACACACACGGTTTTGAGTGAGGGGCGAGAAGTCTCTTTTTCAGCAGGAAGATCACATACTCAACTTCGTATCTCTATCGTTTGCAAAATATCCACAGCGGCGAGGAGAACGCGAAACTGCCCGAAGCCGCTCAGAAGACGGGAACGAAAGATCACCACGATGAGCATGACGGGTGTCGCCATAGAAGACCGGAGGAAGTTGCAAAGCAGTCGAGCGATCACCGTCAGAAATAGGGGGGGCATAGGTGAACATCTCCTCGACTCGGATGATGTCCGCATTCTGCACGTCAACAAGTGATTGATCCTGGGCTTGATGAGTGGAGAAGGACTCAAAGCGAGAAAAAAATGCGTTGGTAACCTTGATGTTGCCAGTCGCGAATTGCCTGACTGTGTTCACCAGTCCCACCAATGGGATCAGTTACCCGCTTCCACTCCCGAAACGAGTTGTCTGGTAGGTCAGGTACGGCTTCTTCTGGTTGCCACAGCTGAGGTTGTCCTGGAGTATAGATCCGCACCCGCTCCTGATCCTGCCAGACTGAATATTCGAGCCATGGGTGCTGCTCAGCGGTTCGGCCCGACGTCTGAGTTGCATCCTCGATGTCCATGCCGAAGTGAAAGACAGGGCATACCGCGGGTTCCGATCCAGCTAGCAAAGAAACAGTCACCATGCACAACCATGCACAACCAGCAACTACACAAGAAAACTGGTCTGTCAAGCAATGTACCAGGCCCGTGAAACTGTAACCACGTCGGCTGCGCTCCATGGGTCCCAGTTATGAATGTCTGCACATCTTGCTCCAACATGATTTGAACACTCAAACCCGCAAGTCGAAGAGATAAACGCGGTAGCAGCTCTGCCATGCATGATATCCAAGTCATCAACAACTTCCATGACAACCAACAATGCCCTCAATGTCAGAAATGTCATGAATGTCTTTCAAGTCCTCACTGCAAAGTATGCCAGCCATGTCATGCAAGCAAGTGAGAAAAGAATCATGCGATCTACCATGTCTGCAATTCAAACCATCTCGTCAACTTGCAACGCTCACGGAATGCACTGCCACCTTCCGGGAGTCTTTCGTTCTCTTGATGCAAAGTGCCCTAGCGCGAGCCTCAAGCTGCTGGTAGACCTTCCAGGCTTGCTTGACTTCCTCTGTGGGCTTCTGAAGGAAACGGGCAATGGTTTTGTAGGTGGGCCTGGAATCCTTGTCCTTTTTCCGTCTGACCATCTCATCTAGTTCACCCTGTGTCCATGCCGTGAACGGTTCAAGATGTGCGTTGCGAAGGGCAATAGTGAATTCTTGTAGAAGTTCACGAGGTCCATGAACCACCGTGGGAGATGGACGGAACGATGAAGCACCTGGATGTGGACGAACGGAACCATCCGAATCCGAAACAGGTGTGGTAGGCGATGCCTGTCCTGGTTCACGACCGCTGCAAGGGGGAAGGGGAGCAAGAGGTCTTGGCGGTGGTAACCGATCCAACATTGTCTCTGGATGGCGACCAGAAGTACTGTCAGTGGCATCCCGATGTGCCTCACGAGGTGGGGATAGTGCAGGTATATACCAGGTGGAGGAAGTATCCATAGGCCGGGTTCGGATGCGAGTGGGAGTGCGAGACCGGTCGGACGAGATGCGCTCTGTGATAATGGGAGGGCGCAGTCCATGCCTGGAATTCCGTGGAGCCCTGGGAGACACTCGGGTGTCGGACTGCTGGTTTCGCTCTGTCGCCAGGGCAAAGTTCAGGGTGTCCAGGGCAGTCGCCACTTGGGATGCGAGGACATTGAGTACCGCCACCAGGTTGTTCACGAACTCCACTGACAACTGCATGGTAAATAAAATCACTGCAAGGCCAACCCAAGCAAGAAAGGCTGCGGAACAGCATAAACAACTCATGTAGCAAGACTGGTGTACATCGGTGTGCTATATGAAAGACCAGATGGTCGACACGCCGGCATGGCCTTGACTGCCGGTGGGGGCTTTGGCATGAAAGTGCGGTGGTCAGACGTGGAACCAGTGTGGGCAGAACGGCCAAGAGGACGCCTCTGGTGGCTTGCGGCTGCGTGACCGACGCTGATGAGGGTCCCGGTGTCGGGATCTTCATCTCCGTCTGCGTTCTCTGGAAGTGCTGACACTCACCGGATTAACGTGACCGGCTGGTTCCATCCGGTTGTCTGAGGTGGCCACAAGCGTGATGGGCACCGTTGGATAAGTTGGTCGGACCGATGTGGCCGGCACGGACGGAGGTGCCGATGTTGGTGGGGGTGGCAGTGGTGATTGCCCGTCAGGTACTGGTGGCGGAGGAGGCGGCTGCGGATGCCGTTGCTGACCTTCGAGACGTTGGAGTCCAGCCACAAGAATACTGATCTGCGACGAGATGGCGTGCAGCATAAGCCGGCATTCTCGTAAAAGGTCACCATGATCCATTCCAGTGTAGAATATGGCTGGAAAGGAAGGGTGCTTCAATCAGTGGGCAACTCAAACTGCGGAAGCAGCAAGCAATGCAACAAACATGCAACAAGAAGCGCCAATACACAATCATGCATCACCACGATGAGCATGACGGGTGTCGCCATAGAAGACCGGAGGAAGTTGCAAAGCAGTCGAGCGATCACCGGAAATAGGGGGGGCATAGGTGAACATCTCCTCGACTCGGATGATGTCCGAATTCTGCACGTCAACAAGTGATTGATCCTGGGCTTGATGAGTGGCGAAGGACTCAAAGCGAGAAAGAATGCGTTGGTAACCTTGATGTTGCCAGTCGCGAATTGTCCACGCCTGACTGTGTTCACCAGTCCCACCAATGGGATCAGTTACCCGCTTCCACTCCCGAAACAAGTTGTCTGGTAGGTCAGGTACGGCTTCTTCTGGTTGCCACAGCTGAGGTTGTCCTGGAGTATAGATCCGCACCCACTCCTGATCCTGCCAGACTGAATATTCGAGCCATGGGTGCTGCTCAGCGGTTCGGCCCGACGTCTGAGTTGCATCCTCGATGTCCATGCCGAAGTGAAAGACAGGGCGTACCGCGGGTTCCGATCCAGCTAGCAAAGAAACAGTCACCATGCACAACCATGCACAACCAGCAACTACACAAGAAAACTGGTCTGTCAAGCAATGTACCAGGCCCGTGAAACTGTAACCACGTCGGCTGCGCTCCATGGGTCCAAGTTATGAATGTCTGCACATCTTGCTCCAACATGATTTGAACACTCAAACCCGCAAGTCGAAGAGATAAACGCGGTAGCAACCGGAGGAAGTTGCAAAGCAGTCGAGCGATCACCGTCAGAAATAGGGGGGGCATAGGTGAACATCTCCTCGACTCGGATGATGTCCGAATTCTGCACGTCAACAAGTGATTGATCCTGGGCTTGATGAGTGGAGAAGGACTCAAAGCGAGAAAGAATGCGTTGGTAACCTTGATGTTGCCAGTCGCGAATTGTCCACGCCTGACTGTGTTCACCAGTCCCACCAATGGGATCAGTTTGCCACAGCTGAGGTTGTCCTGGAGTATAGATCCGCACCCACTCCTGATCCTGCCAGACTGAATATTCGAGCCATGGGTGCTGCTCAGCGGTTCGGCCCGACGTCTGAGTTGCATCCTCGATGTCCATGCCGAAGTGAAAGACAGGGCGTACCGCGGGTTCCGATCCAGCTAGCAAAGAAACAGTCACCATGCACAACCATGCACAACCAGCAACTACACAAGAAAACTGGTCTGTCAAGCAATGTACCAGGCCCGTGAAACTGTAACCACGTCGGCTGCGCTCCATGGGTCCAAGTTATGAATGTCTGCACATCTTGCTCCAACATGATTTGAACACTCAAACCCGCAAGTCGAAGAGATAAACGCGGTAGCAACCGGAGGAAGTTGCAAAGCAGTCGAGCGATCACCGTCAGAAATAGGGGGGGCATAGGTGAACATCTCCTCGACTCGGATGATGTCCGAATTCTGCACGTCAACAAGTGATTGATCCTGGGCTTGATTGATGAGTGGCGAAGGACTCAAAGCGAGAAAGAATGCGTTGGTAACCTTGATGTTGCCAGTCGCGAATTGTCCACGCCTGACTGTGTTCACCAGTCCCACCAATGGGATCAGTTACCCGCTTCCACTCCCGAAACGAGTTGTCTGGTAGTCAGGTACGGCTTCTTCTGGTTGCCACAGCTGAGGTTGTCCTGGAGTATAGATCCGCACCCACTCCTGATCCTGCCAGACTGAATATTCGAGCCATGGGCGCTGCTCAGCGGTTCGGCCCGACGTCTGAGTTGCATCCTCGATGTCCATGCCGAAGTGAAAGACAGGGCGTACCGCGGGTTCCGATCCAGCTAGCAAAGAAACAGTCACCATGCACAACCATGCACAACCAGCAACTACACAAGAAAACTGGTCTGTCAAGCAATGTACCAGGCCCGTGAAACTGTAACCACGTCGGCTGCGCTCCATGGGTCCAAGTTATGATTGTCTGCACATCTTGCTCCAACATGATTTGAACACTCAAACCCGCAAGTCGAAGAGATAAACGCGGTAGCAACCGGAGGAAGTTGCAAAGCAGTCGAGCGATCACCGTCAGGAATAGGGGGGGCATAGGTGAACATCTCCTCGACTCGGATGATGTCCAAATTCTGCACGTCAACAAGTGATTGATCCTGGGCTTGATGAGTGGCGAAGGATTCAAAGCGAGAAAGAATGCGTTGGTAACCTTGATGTTGCCAGTCGCGAATTGTCCACGCCTGACTGTGTTCACCAGTCCCACCAATGGGATCAGTTTGCCACAGCTGAGGTTGTCCTGGAGTATATAGATCCGCACCCACTCCTGATCCTGCCAGAATTCGAGCCATGGGTGCTGCTCAGCGGTTCGGCCCGACGTCTGAGTTGCATCCTCGATGTCCGTGCCGAAGTGAAAGACAAGGCGTACCGCGGGTTCCGATCCAGCTAGCAAAGAAACAGTCACCATGCACAACCATGCACAACCAGCAACTACACAAGAAAACTGGTCTGTCAAGCAATGTACCAGGCCCGTGAAACTGTAACCACGTCGGCTGCGCTCCATGGGTCCAAGTTATGAATGTCTGCACATCTTGCTCCAACATGATTTGAACACTCAAACCCGCAAGTCGAAGAGATAAACGCGGTAGCAACCGGAGGAAGTTGCAAAGCAGTCGAGCGATCACCGTCACAAATAGAGGGGGCATAGGTGAACATCTCCTCGACTCGGATGATGTCCGAATTCTGCACGTCAACGAGTGATTGATCCTGGGCTTGATGAGTGGAGAAGGACTCAAAGCGAGAAAGAATGCGTTGGTAACCTTGATGTTGCCAGTCGCGAATTGTCCACGCCTGACTGTGTTCACCAGTCCCACCAATGGGATCAGTTACCCGCTTCCACTCCCGAAACAAGTTGTCTGGGTGTCAGGTACGGCTTCTTCTGGTTGCCACAGCTGAGGTTGTCCTGGAGTATAGATCCGCACCCACTCCTGATCCTGCCAGACTGAATATTCGAGCCATGGGTGCTGCTCAGCGGTTCGGCCCGACGTCTGAGTTGCATCCTCGATGTCCATGCCGAAGTGAAAGACAGGGCGTACCGCGGGTTCCGATCCAGCTAGCTAGTTTGCGAAGCTGTGTGGTAAAACGCTGATGCAGCATGTCAACATCGCCAAAATATTGATCCTTCATGGACGCGGTCATGATGTCAATGTCGATGTCTGCATTGATACGTGAGAACTCATCTACCATTACTACATGTTCATATGTGCACGATGTAGGAGGTGGTCATCAATGTCTGAACAGCAACACGGAAAAGATATGTCAGGAGTCCACCTGCGTTGCCATGAGATCCTGTCCCCCAAGGTAACTCAAAACTGCGACACCTCAATCTTGAGAGAATCAAATCCGACAAGATGCAAGTCAACGCAAGTTCAAGCCAAGCACAGATCAACACGCGGTCATGCAGCCACCAGCAGCAATTGTGAGACTTAGCTATGATCTGACGGCTGTCTTCCCTTTAGTGAAACCTCGTTCCTGGTTAAATCAGAAATCCCGCTGTTCTATGATAAGCACGTTGAGGTCAAATTTTCCGACAGAGTCGGCCCGGGGTCACACAATGGGTACACCCGAGGATTCCCCGCGAATGGGGTGTACACACTTAAACTCCAGATGGAGGGCGCTAATCTTTCGAGTACAACTGATGAGTCTCGAGTACAACTGACGAGGCTCGAGTACAACTGACAAGTCTCAAGTCGGATAAGGTTCGGCTGGCAGGTCACTTGGCTTCACTCTAGTGTCGAAAACGTTACAGGTTCAACATGAAGCACACACAGCGGCAAAAGAAGCGGCCAACTGGACTTTCATCAACATCACTTCACAAAAGCAGGTACACACGGGTGATCAATCCGTGCATCCACCATCAAGCATAGCTTCGTTGGCCAGCGTTTGCTTGATGGCCGCTGGCCCCCTGCTACTAATTGTGGTGACAGGGTATTCTGCTACTCCGCACACACACACACCACACACACAATTGTTTAAGGACATTGACTGGCTCCCCCCATCTCAATCCAATCGAGGAACAGCAGCCACATGGGCTAAATCGCAATTCAAAGAGGAACACAAGACCTTCCGGCCAGCTGTCCAAGACGTCGCCCAATAAATGTTCAGAAGAGTTCGCCGGACGGGCCAGACCACAAGCAAGCAGAGACAAACCTTCAGCTCGAATTTTGTCGCAGATCGTCAAGTAGACGACTTGCTGCTGCTCAGTAAGGAATGTGGGAATGAACACAGAAGTCCCCTTAGAGGAAACCACAAGGGATGGTTCACAAGGTTCATTCCCTCCTTCCCTGCTCGAGCGCCAGCAAGACTAACACCCTGGAATCATGTGGTGTAAGCTGACTGCCACTCCCTCAGGATTCGCGACTCCGGCCTCCGGCAGCGCGAGGGCCAGGAGTTGCGCGCACGAGGCCAGGCAAGCCACCTGGCATCGTATCGAGGCAAAATGGGTTGATCTGCGAAGCCCATTCCGATTACCAATTCAAACTGGGAAATCTGGATGACTTTGACTCAAAAAGAAAGCGGAGAAATGTGGACCCCTGCCAGAAGTTCTGGTAAGAGCATGTGAGACCTGGCGGACCCCCACAAAAATGCGTGGTTTTCCTCATGGTTAAAGCCACCAAAGAAGCCATTGGCCTCCCCCCCGCTGATGCTCCCCCTCAATGCCTGCAACCAAAAAGCATGGACAAAGGCACTCACTCGCGGCATGTGTGCGTATTTTGGGGATCCGGAATCAAAAGCTTAAAGCGTTTTTTGCAGGGCGGCCACAAAACCTGTGACGCCGCATTCCCAGACGCCACATTCCTCCTCCACACTGGCGCCACATTATCACGCCACATTTTCTGATGCCGCATTCCCGTCTGATGCCACATTCCGACACCACACGCCACGCCCCGGCTGACAAAGCAACAAGCTCAAGGGAAGAAACAGAGACCGCAATCCCGCATGCGCGTGAATCCCAAGCGTGCCATAGCGCATCATGAGCGTGGAGATCCATCTGTCACTGCTCATCATATGAGATTCAGCCTCGGCTCGCAAGTCGCGAATGTTCAGCACAAAAGAACCGCACGACATAAACTTCCGAAAGTCGCAACTTTTCAGATCCGGATAGGACCCGTTGGCCACCCTGTCCGAACGAAAACTGATGGGAAAAGCCATCCAATTTCGCAACACTTTCAAGAATCTTACGCAAAACATTGACTAACACCGAACATCCGGAAGTTGCGCCCAGCAGGACCCGCCTCCAAACTCCAACAAGTCGCTTTCCGCCGGGGGTTGGTTTTGCGGCTATGTACTCTTGCAGCAACACTCAGGCCGCGCTTTCCTCCAACCAACTTTAGTCTGCACATGCCGGCAACTAGCACGGTTCATCAATCCATCTTCCTTTGGGCAAACACCCTCTTTCGCAACCTCCATCGCGAAGCTTTCGCGGAGGGCAACACTACTTTCAATGAATTCTGAACAAACCTTTCCAGCAACTCCATGTCATCTGCTGCCAACCACAAGACTCACCAGACCTGCCGCTGGCTAGCTGCGCGAGCTTTCCACAGCTGAGCGCTTTCTCTGTTGGCTGCGGGACAAGCGTGAGCAATTTGTGAATCGCAGCTTCCTTTGATGACGCGATCACTCCACCTGGGCTGCGCGAGAAACTTGCGAAACTTCTCGTAGACCCTCCTGTTGCTCTGCGACTCCGGGTGAGAAGGTTGAATTCGCGCTTCGTTGAGGCGAAACGCCTTTTTTCTGCCCCCAAGCGGCGTCCGTGGGTCGCCTGCTAAGGGGGGAAAGTGCGAGTAGCTGCAGGGATCATCTTGCTGATTTGCGTTTGGAAGCTTTACGCATGCACATTCGAAGCCAGAACCAGAATGTTGTTTCTCGGCTGCGCAATAAGGGCCAATAAGAGCGCGGCAGAAGCTGTCGCCGTTGCCGTTGTTGTTGTAGACGTTGCTGCGGTGTTGGGATAGCGGCAGCGTCGGAGTCGGAGTAGAAGTGGGGAGCGCGTCAATGATAGTAGTAGAGATGGTAGTATTAAAAAAAGGTACTAGTAGTAGTAGTAGTAGCAGTAGTAGTAGTAGTAGTAGGAGGAGTAGTGTAGCAGTAGTAGTAGTAGTAGTAGTAGTAGTAGTAGTAGTAGTAGTAGTGATAGTAGTAGTAGCAGTAGTAAAGTAGTAGTAGTAGTAGTAGTAGTAGTAGTAGTAGTAGTAGTAGTAGTAGTAGTAGTAGTATTAGTAGTAGTAGTAGTAGTAGTACTAGTAGTACTAGTAGTAGTAGTAGTAGTAGTAGTAGTAGTAGTAGTAGTAGTAGTAGTAGTATTAGTAGTAGTACTAGTAGTAGTAGTAGTAGTAGTAGTAGTAGTAGCGACAGCAGTAGCAGTGGCAGTGGCAGTGGCAGTAGCAGTAGCAGTAGCCGCAGCCGTAGCCATAGCAGTACTAGTGGCAGTAGCAGTAGCAGTAGCAGTAGCAGTAGCCGCAGCCGTAGAAGTAGCAGTAGCAGTAGCAGTAGCAGTAGCAGTAGCAGTAGCAGTAGCAGTAGTAGTAGTAGTAGTAGTAGTAGTAGTAGAAGTAGTAGTAAGCACGGGCAGCAATTCGGGGGCCTCGGCGCTCAGATTCCCTCGCGCCTGCCAGCTTTTTGTACCCGCGCCTGACATCGAACGGTCTGCCCTTAGGACATCGGCAGGCCTTTGCCAATGCACGCCACTGCGCAGGCCAGGCGCAATTTTTGGGACTAACCGTTGTCCAGGAGGTGGTGAGAGGATCTTCTGTCCACGCAGTTGCCCTCAGCACTCCTCTTGTCAGCTCATCCAAGCTTTCCAAGACCAGGAGCCTACTGCCACGGCCCCATTGAGGGCAAGTTAAACCCTAAAACTGAACCCTAAACGGGGGGTTGAAAGCAAGTTAAGCCCCTTGAGGCAAGTGAACCAAAACCTGAACCCTAAAGTGAGGGTTTGAGGGCAAGGTAAACCCCAAAACTAAACCTTAAACGCTCGGTTTGAGGACAGTTTGTCGGGAGGGAGTTCGATTCGCAGTTCCTCTTTGCTTTTGAGAGGCTTGGGCGAATGTGTCTTTGGAGTTTGTCTTCGTCTTATGGAAAAGTACTACCGCCACAGCGGCCGCATTGCGCTTTCGAGCTCCAGGAAAGCCAGAACCGAGAACCATGCTCAGGACTCAATCCAATCCCGACCCTGTTCCACGTCGCTGAAGTGTACAAGTCGAGCACTTGCGCAGAAGGAATAAGTTGGCAACGGTGCATTGACCTCACCCCTTGGCGCAGAGTGCCATTTTGATTGTCGCACTCAAGTCTAGAACCATTTGGGCATGTTTGGGAAAATCGCGCTCTACTCGTGAAGCTCGCTCTGCTTAAGTTCTAAGCAGTTTCCCTCCGAGTCTGTGCCAATCCCAGAAATCTTTGGAAACTCTGCAGAATTTCCACATGTTCCCGTTCGCTGTACTCCAACTTGCTTGCACTTTGGATTTGACGGCTCAGGCGTCCTATGATCAAAAGGTCCGGCAAACATGGGATGACCATCGCTTGGAAAACCATAAACCAAATAATGTTTCAGCCACATGGCAAAGGTTTACGCATGGTCATTTGAGGGCCGAACGAAATATTGATCAACCCCGCGTTAGGCAGCTGATTCAACCCTTGCAACTGTTCGGCTCTTTGGAATCGAAGTCAGCTTCCGATTGGGGCCTCTTAATCCATTGATGCCCAGCCATGCACAAACAAAAGGCTCAACTCGCAGCTTCATGGAGGGCTGTGGTCTTTGTTGCGGGTACCCTTCTTGGGTTGGTTGAACGGGAGGCCTTCAAAAGGAAACCCATGTTGACTCGGGATCAGTGTCAGGCCAGGCCGGCCGATGCCACAGAGAGCGGAGCTCGCCCGGAGAAGAGGACCTGGCGGGACCCCAAAATTTGGAGAATTTGGAGAAAGAAAACAAACACCCTCCTGGAACCTGATGTTTCAGGGCTCCTTTGGACCATTTCCTTTTAAAAAGAAAACTGCCTCTGGTGGAACCCCATAGAACCATACCCTCCTCTCCACGTTGCTATGAAAACCCGACATGTCGGGGTCCTTGGACTAGTTTCTTTTAAAAGCGACTCTCTGCTAATTGCCCACCCTCCGCAACCAAAAATCAGTTTGCCGCTTGCAACGACCACAAGCGGCGGCCGATTCAAACGGACCTCAGATGTCAGCTCCCGCCGGCCTCCTTTCCAGTGAGCGCCAGGCCAGAAAAGGAGAGGGCTGAGCCTCGAAAGCGAAACAGGAGATTGCGGAGATGGCCCAAATCCGCCACTGGGTGGTTCACCGCCAAGTGGGCTTTTTATCCCAGTCCCACCTATAGGACAAACCGATTTTTCGCAACCCGAGCCTCAAGAAAGTATAGAGACCCAGGCGATCCAACGCATATAATTCCTTTCGCGTCAGTCCGTTTTTTTTGACTACCCCAAGGCAGACTTAAACCCAGGGTAGTTCATTCCCCCAAAAGGGAAAGCCCTGGGTCTAAGTCTGTCCCCAAGGAGATCCCAAGAAACGGACCCCTGGGGTCACCACTTCAGTTCTTCGCTTCTCCACTTCGACCCCAAGCCCAGGGCAGAGCAGTGCTGCCTGTTGGAGGCCTGGATGCAGGGACGACCTGAGCTCGCGGATCGTCCGGGCTTCAGCGACGCGCAGGTCCAAAACATGTGGCTGTGGCTGAAAAATCGGGTAACCCCAAAATGGCTTGCCCTGGCAAATGGAAACATGGACTAAAACCTGCGGTCGTCTGTTGGTTTCATTTTGACCCATACCCATGTCAGGCGCGGGATTTTACCACTTTGCGGTCACCCCAAGATGGACTCGCACCCAGGGGTGGATTTTCCCGAAAGGGGAACCCCTTTCAGTCTACCTCGGGGTAGTCAAAAAGTGGAACCCTGGTCAGGTGTGTGTGTGTGTGTGTGTGCTTTCTGTCTTGCGTCAAGTCTTGATCCCCGTCGGCTTGCAGGCAAGGCCGGCATCCAGGTCTACCTCTGCAATGATTGTTTGGAGGTAATGAGACATGCAGGCCATATTCAATTTGACGTGAGGTTGCCTCTGTTCTGAAGCAGCCAGTACTTTGCGGCTGACTTCGCGGCTCATTCTGCCATTCCAAGAAGTAAGTACAAATGTGGCCATGGTCCAATTCCCGTACTTCCAGTGAACATCCCGATCCCCACTCAAATAGACCAAAATTGGGTGGTGCACCTGTTTGTTCACCCTTGATGAATCAGTCACCCTTCCTCGCTTCAGCGCTTTCCCATGTGGCCAAGGGGCAACGCCTTCACCGGCCCAGCGGCGCCAACGCCCAGTGCCACGATCCTGGCTCTGCAAATGTCGGCTTCCCAAGGCCTAAGGCCTCCGACGTCTTCAGGACACGATGGCTCATGCACGCGGGAAAGTGGCGTGCAAGGAATGGCGGGTCTGCTCCGCTGATAGCCTGTAACTTGATCTGGCCACGGTGTCTTTGTGAAAAGCTTGCCCAACATGCACGGCAACTATCAGAGCAACTCCAAGCCAGACAGCACAAACCAAATGCAGAGCTCCCTGCATTTCCCCACGAGCAAACTCACTTCTAAAAAAATGTCCCAAAGGTGACGTTTAAAGCCAGCAAAAGGGAACATACGGGTCTGTCTTTCTTCACGAACCCCCCCCCAAAAAAAGAGCTTCCTTTTTCCCATTTGTTGTTCCTTTTGCTTTCCCTTTGAACACACATCCAAAAAAGGGCACAAACCCAAAAGGAAAAACGACCCAACACACGGGGAACCCACACAAAGCGAAGTGCGCTCGCTCGCGAATCCCCCTGGGCGTCCCCCGCGCGGCGCCCAGCCAGGCAGTGCGCTTCACACGGCTCCGCAGCAAAAAACGGGCCGCCAGCAGCGTCACCAACTGGCGGCGAGACGTCTCTCGCTGGCTGCGAAATCGGTAGGGAACGAGAAATGGAATGAACCCAGGAGGGAAATTCAGCAGAACACCTGGTTGCTTGCGATAAGTAGGGAATGAGGGAATGGAGTGATTACCCAGTTGCTTTGGTCCCCGAAAAAAGGGAAACCGCAGGCAAGGGATGGGTGTTCTCGGGGCGATTCCAGTTCTAACTTCCTGCATCTCTCGCACCAGCAAGTTCTGCTGGCTTCCACGCTTCCATTGACCCCGTGAAAAGGTATAGGGAATCTTACTGTGGATGGTTGCGAACTCCCCATGTCGCACCACCGTTCAGAAACCCAACGGAATGATACGATTCCCTGTATTTAAAACCCAAGAAACGTGATGGTTTCCACCATGGTCTCCAGTGCGACATGGATTGCGTCCACCAGTAGGGAACACTTTCCATCGAGGTCCTCGCAAAGCTGCAGGTCTGCCAGAGTTCTGGGGGCCCCGACCAAGGACACCCCAGACAGGAGAGCCGCCGAGACGCCTCTCAAGCAGATTGGCACTGTGCAGCGGCCCATTCCCAGCCCAAACAGCCCAGGCCGCGTCTCTCAAATTTCATAAAAGGAGAGTCTCATCAAAATGTATTTTCTCATCTGCCACTGCGAGATTGGCTTCACATGCAGGCTTCACATGCAGAAACTGTCACGGCTTGATACTCCAAGACCAGCTGGAACAAATGCATGTTATAAAGGCTACTCGCAATTTAGTCATGGTGCTGAGACCCGCAGCGCTGCTGCGAAATGGGAAGCTGCCCTCTTTTGGTGGCGGCTGGAAGGACCCTTCTCACTTGGCGAAATTGAAATGCAGGTCTGTCATGGGGATTGGCCCTGAGATATCCAAAAGATCCAGCCAACCAAACCCTGCCTAGCGAGCCGGCCTAGGTTGCACCAAGTTCTGAGAGGTGTGCAGAATGTGGCGCAGAAGTGAAGCTGGGCCCAAAACATGCCGACAACCATCAGCTCAAGGTCACAGGCAGACTGCCCAACTCTTGCCAATCTGCAGATACAGTACCCTGCGTTCCCTACAAGGATCTGTCTGAGGTGCGTTCCCTACATGAATTGCTCGCTTCCACTTCGCTCTTCGCTCGCTACTGGGACTCCGGCCGTGGCAACTTGCTGCAAGGCCACCCAGCCGAGAAGCTCCACAACGCCCTGGATGTTTCCCCAAACAACTCGGAAGGCGTGCCAAAGCATGCACCCACACGGACCCCCACTCGAAACCCCCGAAACCCGGTATTAAGTTTAAACCTTTGTGATGTCCCAAAGGGTGAATTTGTCAAACTCTAGGTGACTATGTGGGTTTCTCCAACACCTGAGACGTGGTCATTCCTCGCGATCCAATGGCGGCAAGGGAGCTTATGGAAAAAGGAGGATGGAAATCCGTTTTCTCATCTGATCGTGTGTCTTGGGCGGACATCACCTTGACGACCCGTCGCCACTCGCAAGAGGTCAGGCTCAAGTAATTTGTCAATGCTTGGCCCAGTCCTAAATGCCTACTGGGTATGAAACTTGCTGTTACGCTGGCATGGTAAGCAGGGGCTACAAAGGGTGTGAACTCTATGCAAATGATGTGACTCTTTAAACCACGATCCCGCAGTGCCCCCGCTTCAAATCAAGAGCAGTAAACTCACTCGCTGCACCTTAGTTGGATCCAAACGACCCTTTCCCTACCCGTAGCTCACGGATATATTGAAGGCCTCCGGCAAGTTGAACTTGTATCCGAAATGCAAAGAAAGATTGTCTCTTGCAAGCGCGTTTGCGTGCGTTTGCTTTGTCTTGCTTTTCCTTGCTGTTGCTTGCTTTTGCCACATCCAGCCACGCACGCATGCAAGCGATTGAGAGGTGCTCAGACCCGCGCCACCAGCAGAATGACCTTGACATTCTGCTCCTTGGGGAACTTGGTGGGCGGCATGACTTGACCTCGGAATGCAGCTGGGAGTGGGCAACGAGGAGTTTGCTGATGTCTCCGAAAGAAGTTCGGTGAGTCGAGGCGGCCAGATCCCCAACTCGGAGACCTATTGCCGGTCGTTCCAAATCAAAGAGTCCCGATTTCTTCCACGGCGCCCTTTTGATAAAGTCGTTTCCCTTTCAAAGCTCACGGAAGGGTCCTTTGGGCCTCAAAGCTCAGGGTCCAAAGGCGATCCGTGCGGCACGAATGGGAAGACTGAACAGCGGGAGGAGCTTCATCTCGGGCTCCCCAACTCGCGATGAGAAAAATCGCCGCGTGCAGGAACACGGTGAAGCGGGGCGGAGGCATTGCTGCGCCGGCCGACCTCGAGGAACCGAAAGAGTTGCTTGCGCTTCTCGTTAAAACCACCCCAAAACGGGGAGCCTCGGAAAAAGACACGCCCAAACCCCCAGAACTGGTGGCTGTCCTTTTTGGGGCGTTTTGTGTAACCCATCCTGAAAAGGGCACCAAGGCCTCATTTCAGGCAAAAAGCGACGCGTCAAAATGCTCAAAGATCGACACACGGCGACGGCTCGAGGCCAGGCCCTTGAGACCACTCTCAGAGCCCCTGAACCTCAAAAAACCACTAAAGAAACATAGAACCTCCGCAGGTAGTCTTCCATTTTCCTAGGGCTACCTTCCATGTCCGTTCTTGAACCATTGATCCTTCTTCTTTTCAGGAAACCATGCAAAAACCCGGGGAAACTGATCCGGCTTTTGTTAAAGAACGATGGTTGACAAGAAACTGACAAGGAATCCACCCCTAGAATTTGTGTCTGTCCGGCACCCCCTCTTCGAACGTTTGTTGCTGCACTCTGGGCGCTCGGCTTGAACTCCTTGAGGGCCACTCTGTGTAGCAACACCTCGGTGCCGGAGATCGCGTTGAGATCTCTGGGGATCGCAACCCCAAGAACATTTGAGAGGATCCATGAGGCCATGGGTCAAAGAGTAAAATGGGTGGTTACCCCAAGATGGTACCATTGGTTTTGACCCACATTGTTCGGGGCCAGCGGCATGCTGGCAGAAGAGTCTTTTTTCCCCGAACATTCCTGCGCTGTTTCCTGTTCCCGTGCAAATTAGCAACCCTCTGCGGACCTGGTGAGTGGCTCCCGACGCGGGGAGTCAAAAAGTTTGAATAGCGAAAGGCAATCCTCTGCAAACTCTGGGTGCTGAACTGGGCTGCCCTCAGATCCCCTGCTAAAAGTCGTCTGACCTTTGGTGGGTTAAAATGCAAACCCCCCACTAAACCCGAAAAAGCCCAGCTCTCGCAGCCCGGCGCGAGTTTAGAATACTGAAGCACCCTCTGCAAGGTTTAGGCGCACTGAGCTACTCTCTCCGTGCGGTGCGAATCCATCGAAGGCAGAAAGCATCTTCTCGCGACGCGGTGAGGATCAAGACAAAGACGCTGCAACGCAAAGCGCCTCCACGAAACATCCACACAAAGTTTTTTTGCAGATACCCTGAAAAGAAATATTGCTTGATCTTCAGTGATCTTGCCGGGATCTGTTCAAAGGATTTTTTGCGAACCTGTCTGCGTGCTGAAGAGATCCTTTTGATTGGGGCGCCCGAGTCATGAACCTTCTGCTAGGCCAAGGCACCATGGCGAATCCCAGCAGCGCCACCGCCCAGGGCGGGGGCGCCCGCAACCAACCTGGGAGCGCTGTGAATCCTCAGGCTTCTAGGGGGACACTACCCTGGCTTAGGGTTGAGTGGGGTTTCCATGTAACCCACTCATCTAGGGGTACTTTCCCCATTCTTTCCAGGGATCCGAATCTTTTCAGAAAACCATCAGAACCCCAGGAAAAACAGCTGGTTTTTGAAAAGAAGGATGGTTGAAAGGAATGGGGGATCGGTTCCCCTAGAAGTTTGGAAACAGAGCTGGCGCCATGAAATCCGGACAGCGAACGGAATGCCTCAGGCAGGCTTCTTGTGGGCTGGAGAAGGTTCACAGGTCAACACAGGCCAGTGTAGGCTTCCATCCGGCCACACATCAGACTCAGCTTGTTATTCAAGTTAAACACCGCAACGGACCCTCGGTTCGAAAATTGACAGCTGGTTCAACGCCCAGTTGAAATACATGTGGGTATGAATTTTAATTAGGGGCCCTTTGGTCCATTGGTGGACATCATTTAGGTGGGGATTGTGTCCACCAACCACTTTTCAGGAGGTTCCCCATTGACAAAATCATAGCCATGTATCAAAATAGAAGCCCCATGGCGGTGTTCCTTCAGGCAACCACATAGCAGGAACGTCTTGCGGGGTCGACCCGTGCTGCCAAGTGGCTCTTGGTTGCCACCTGCGAATGGCTTGCCGAAAGGAGCAAGGAATGAAAAGGCGCAGGTTGGAGAACGGCTGCCTTTGGCCGCCCTTCCAAATCTCCAGCTTTGCAGTAGGTGAATTTATTTCTTGGCTGGGTCTGTTTTTGGGGGGTACCCCTTTGTTGGGGGGCGGGATTTTGAAGGGAAACCAAAAGGAAGACCACCAACTTGGGGGGGGTCCCTTATAAAAGACACACCCGGGTCATGTTCTCCCGAACCGCAAGTCAGTTGTCCTCTGATGGCTTCTGATACGCCACGTGATGAGCGGCTCAAGACACCAAACTGGGCTGGACAGAATGAGAAACGGTCCCAAATTGGAAGTGCAGAAGAAGCAGCCGATTTTCAGTTGGGGAAAGCAAGGAAGAACTGAAGAACTGATCTCGAATGGGACAAAATGCGCCGGACACGCCCTGATTTGCCGACTGCCCAGCCTTGCCACACGCGCAAGGCAAGCCCAAACAGAAAGCCATGGCCCCCAATTTGTAAAAAAGGGTCATCCTCCGAGCTGTCAAAAAAAAAGACAACTCCCCTGAAATGGACCCAGTTCAAAGCCCAACTTTCGGCCAAAAAGCCCTCCAACCCCCCCCCCCCCCCCAGGGGACCTCCCGCGCCGGGACCCTGCCTTCGCTTCCTTCACCTTCGCCTCCGCCTGTAGCACCGGCCGCCTCCGCAGCACTGCCGCTGCGGCAGACGCGCCTGGCGCCCAGTGCCATAGGTGCCGTGTCCCAGGCAGTGGATGGAGAACATCCATTTCGCACCACCTAAGGAACCCTAAGAATGATACGATTCAATAAATACCGGCGTGTCGGAGTACGGATATGAAATGGATAGAGAGACATAGACCTAAGAACCATAAGGCTGGAGAGGAGGAACCCCCCCCTAGTCCGCCGACAGATACCCCCCCCCCCCCCCCCCCCCCCCCTCCCCTCCCCGCGCGGCAATTTGATGACGTTCCACTAAACGTAGTCTTCGGGGAGCCGGTGTCGCAAAACAGGGGTCCCAGGCTCGATTCCCCCTGCCGGCTTTTTTGCTGGCTTGGGCTTCCTACATCCTTTTGCCGAAAATCTGGAAAACTCCATGTTTTTGGACGTCTTTCATACATTCATCCATTGCATTCATTTCATACATTACATTCATTACATTCCTTACATACATTACATACATACATACATACATACATACATACATACATACATACATACATACATACATACATACATACATACATACATACATACATACATACATACATACATACATACATACATACATACATACATACATACATACATACATACATACATACATACATACATACATACATACATACATACATACATACATACATACATACATACATACATACATACATACATACATACATACATACATACATACATACATACATACATACATACATACATACATACATACATACATACATACATACATACATACATACATACATACATACATACATACATACATACATACATACATACATACATACATACATACATACATACATACATACATACATACATACATACATACATACATACATACATACATACATACATACATACATACATACATACATACATACATACATACATACATACATACATACATACATTACATACATACATACATACATACATACATACATACATACATACATACATACATACATACATACATACATACATACATACATACATACATACATACATACATACATACATACATACATACATACATACATACATACATACATACATACATACATACATACATACATACATACATACATACATACATACATACATACATACATACATACATACATACATACATACATACATACATACATACATACATACATACATACATACATACATACATACATACATACATACATACATACATACATACATACATACATACATACATACATACATACATACATACATACATACATACATACATACATACATACATACATACATACATACATACATACATACATACATACATACATACATACATACATACATACATACATACATACATACATACATACATACATACATACATACATACATACATACATACATACATACATACATACATACATACATACATACATACATACATACATACATACATACATACATACATACATACATACATACATACATACATACATACATACATACATACATACATACATACATACATACATACATACATACATACATACATACATACATACATACATACATACATACATACATACATACATACATACATACATACATACATACATACATACATACATACATACATACATACATACATACATACATACATACATACATACATACATACATACATACATACATACATACATACATACATACATACATACATACATACATACATACATACATACATACATACATACATACATACATACATACATACATACATACATACATACATACATACATACATACATACATACATACATACATACATACATACATACATACATACATACATACATACATACATACATACATACATACATACATACATACATACATACATACATACATTACATACATACATACATACATACATACATACATACATACATACATACATACATACATACATACATACATACATACATACATACATACATACATACATACATACATACATACATACATACATACATACATACATACATACATACATACATACATACATACATACATACATACATACATACATACATACATACATACATACATACATTACATTACATTACATTACATTACATTACATTACATTACATTACATTACATGCATACATTACATACATACATACATACACACACATACGCATACATACATACATACATACATACATACATACATACATACATACATACATACATACATACATACAGACAGACATGACAGACAGACAGACAGACAGACAGACAGACAGACAGACAGACAGACAGACAGACAGACAGACAGACAGACAGACAGACAGACAGACAGACAGACAGACAGACAGACAGACAGACAGACAGACAGACAGACAGACAGACAGACAGACAGACAGACAGACAGACAGACAGACAGACAGACAGACAGACAGACAGACAGACAGACAGACAGACAGACAGACAGACAGACAGAGACAGACAGACAGACAGACAGACAGACAGACAGACAGACAGACAGACAGACAGACAGAGACAGACAGACAGACAGACAGACAGACAGACAGACAGACAGACAGACAGACAGACAGACAGACAGACAGACAGACAGACAGACAGACAGACAGACAGACAGACAGACAGACAGACAGACAGACAGACAGACAGACACATATATATATATGCATACATACATACCAGAGAGGGAGACTGGGCATGGAGAGGCTTGGGGGGATGGGGAGGATGGGGAGCAGAGGGAGGGAGAGAGGACGACAGAACACACAATGGAGACAAGGGAGAGAGGCAGAAGGAGAAAAGGGAGAGGACAATGTCGGCGGACTGAGCCGGAGGCTCTAAAGTTTATTCCATGCTTTCAAATTTTGCACAGGCACTCGTGTTCTTCCCGAATTCAAGTGGTTGGATCGCATCACTTTCACATCAAGTCAAGCCATCGCCCTAAAAAACAGAGGTCTATTGAAGTCAGCCCAACTTCGGCAGCTCCAACCAAAATGCCTCTCTGGGTCCACACCAACTTTGTCCACACCTATACGAAAGCCCCAAAGAGGCATCAGTTGGTGAGGTTGTTTGAGAGCCCTTGCCTGCCACAAAGCGCAATGGGGCGAGGCCAGCTGGCTCCTGGCAAAAGCACACATCTATGAGTCACCTAACAACAGTCACAGTCACGATTGATAGGAATTCTGACGGCGGCTACCTGACAACCCTCTGAGAGGGCTATCATAAATGGACCATGGCATACATGTCACAGGCTGAGAAAATCGCTCGGCACCAACTAAATGTCCAGCTGCGCTGGTCAAAGACCTTGTGGCCGCCAAGCTTACACACACACACACACATGGCCACGGGTCAAAACCCCGTACCCCCATTGAACTTCCGAATCCCCACTAAAATAGACTAAAATGGGTGGTGAATTCACGTACCCCCAAATGGGATTTGCTTGGTGTTGACCAGCCATAATATGTGCCACCTATCCAACGTTCTAGCTCCGAACCTGCAAGTCGAATCTCAAAGTGTCCAACCAACTCCAAGGCATGCGTCGTTCCTCGGGCCGCCAAGGCGTCTTCGCCCGGCGCCGCAGCGGCCTGCCCGAAGCCGCCCCGCTTTTTTTTGGGAGAATCAAGATGGGGTGGCTCGGCATTTTATAGGGAATTCCTTGTTAAGGTTGGTTTGAAAGGGAAGCCAAAGGGACACCCTGGTCATTTTTGGGGCTGCCCTAAAACGAGACACGCCCCTTTTAGGCACCCGTGACAATACGCAAGCGAGTTTTTTTTTCGGCTAGGACGACATATCAAAGGTGTAAACTTGGACATGTTGGAGCTTATATGCTAGGGGACGGCTGAAACGAGGCCTGAAACGAGGCAGGAGGATTCAGAAAAAGTTGATGAGTCCTCTGGCTGATTAGATGGGAACCAAGTGAAGCCCGTGCCACTTAGGTTCAACCAAACTAACCTGAAAGGACGCCCGTCGATCCATGTTGATTCATGTTTCAAGGCATGACGCAACGAGGTTGCTGCTATCTTGACTCGGCTTAAGAATGTCAGAGGGTATCAAGGGCCCTGATCTCGGTATGTCCTGCTCCAGCTTTCCCCTGACACAATTTTGAAAGGTGGCTGTGGGCTTGCCACTGACACGTCACTTTGGCCAAACGCAGAGCTGAAACACGTATAAGCAAGTGATGTTCAGGCGCTATCACAGGAGCTGACTAGCAATTGAGCGCAAACTGCCACGTCTCCTCAACATCCGCGCGACTCTTTGCTCAGCGTATTGTGCACGAGATCCACTGAAACTGCCAAGTGCAAACTTGCCGGCTGTCCGACATCCTCAAGTGCTTGTCAGAACCGACCTTTCCCTTGCTTGCAAGCACTCGTTCAACTGGATGACAGGCCTGGTACATCATTCCATTCCCCAATGCCTGCCAAGTTCCTTAAAGGATGCAATGGATGCATCCAAAAGCCACGTACGTGGACCTGCTTTACAAGGGGGATCCTCTAAATGAGCTGGCCCCAGCTATCCTCTAACCCTGTTGCGCCACTCGCCTGCTTGACGAGGTTGCAGTGCCTGTCGACCTCGCGGCTAAACGAACCGCTCCCCAAAGGGCCAGCGACATGCTCATAAGGGAGACCTTGTGCGGCGGAACCAGACAGAGAAAGAAGGCGACACCGAACCAACTGCAAACCTTGCACCCGGATAGGGCCCCGACCCCGTGACCGGCACAAAGGCAGGCCAGTCCATGGTTCTAGAGAGGCGACCACAAAGCAACGCGCACGCACGCAGCCTAAACTGCGGAGAGTTTGCTGAGGCGCCGCGTGTTTGGCAGGTTCTGCCCAGATGGAAGGAAGCACTTGGGTGTCTTTCTTGGGAAACGGCGGCTGGTCTTTTGCCCTCGCTTTACAACCTCGAAAAAGGAACCCCCTCAAGAAAAGTCACCCCCGCGTGTGTTTCCTGGGTAACCCAAGGACTTCCTTTGCGCTACAAGCGATCCCCACGTCTTGGAGACACAGGCCTCAAGCGCCTCGCGCGGTCGAAGCATTCGATTTTCCGCGCAAGTCCATCGGCATGCTTTGGCACTGGCGATGCGGGGAAGGGGATCAAGTCTTGAGCATAGCCTCTTCTCTCTGAGAAAACGCGTTTTGACCGGGCCTCAATGGGCATGTGAAGCCAGCAAAACCTCTAAACCGCTTGCTGTCTCTTCCCTGCGTTGGCGGCATGACTGCGGGGGAAAATCTGGCCGCACCGTGCCGTGCCTGGATCCCAGGTCACTGCTGAGACATAGCCCGCGGCGGTCCAAAGATTCACAACAAGCTCAATTTCGTGAACATGAGCCTCCCCATGATGCCGGTCAAACTCCGGGCCACTCAATGCATAGTGGCTCGTCCTGAACTGTTGATCTAAGTTGGGGGCATACAAAGGCAACTAGTTCGGAAAGGCGTTCTACACTGTTGTGACTACCTTGCTCTTCCAGCAAATGAATCCAAGCTTGGTGTGGATTCACAGCTGTTTGACAATGATGAGGACATAAAACGGAAAGGAAGAGTAGGGCCAGGCATGCTGTTCAAGCTGCCCAAGTTTCGGGAGTCTGTTCCGAAGCAAAGCACTTCATGGCTCCTTGCGGATGGGCAAGGCTAAGGGCAAGATTTCCACTGCATGTGTTCAGACCCTACTCTGACAGGCATCCTTACTCTACTACATTCACTCTCAGTCTCCTTCTCGCACTCTCACTTACTCTAACTCCTTACTATCACCCCCTCCCTAAAGCTTATCTACTGACCGTTGCTTCTTGCTTCTTCGAGCCAAGACTTCGCCGCTTCGATGAGCCTCAAACGAGTCGCCGCAATCCTTCGCTGGCTTTCCGGCACGGCTCGCGGCTCGCCCGAAGCTGGGCTCGGGGCTTATGATCAATCAGGTTCCAAACTTGGAGTTGAACTCAAGCCTCCAAACAAAAACTGGAGACATGCATTGGCTTCAGCCCCAATAGCTGAACTGTAAAAAACGGCCACCAACTTCAACTTCCCTCCTCGATTTTGGGTTTGGACTCCCGAATCGGTGCCTCCAAACTATAATCGTAGCACAGAAACCCACTTGGTTAGAACCTTTCAGGGTCCCACAACATGGAAAGGTTGATTGCAGATGAGCTGACGCGAGTTTACTCGGAGTCTACTGTTGGTTTGGGAGATGCCCCAGTTTCCTACGAAAACCACGGTTGGCGAGAACCGAGACATCCATTTCCTTGAGCCGCCTGGAAAAACCTCAAAACATATGCCAGTGATAGATGAACTGTGAAACCAACAGCGGACACATTAGGCCCATACTCTTCAAATGGAAGACATCCTTTGACCTTTGGGCTTCCAGATTGCGTTGGGTGAGTCCGGTCTGTCTGCCACAACGGGGGCCGTTTGGAACCTGTCAGCAAAAGCTGCAGAGACCTGCAAGCTTCTCCAGCCAGGTCAGCTCCTTGGCTTGCCCACTGAAAACCCCAGCCATCGGAAGAATCTCGGGGACGCTTCCAGGTCCAAAGCGGGAATCCACTTGCGGTTTGCTTCACCACAAATGTGTTTGCTCGTGCCGCCGGCCAGGAATGGGACTGTGATCCTTTTTGAAACTGCAAAAGAACGCAGCCGATAGTATGAACTGCAGGCCCAGGAGACCACCTGCACTACCCTGTTCACCCAGAGTTTTCTGTGTTTTGCTTGGCCTTTGGCCTGTGGCCGCAACAGTACCGCATCCGACCATTCAATTTTGGGAGTTGGCGGAAACCCACGCCGAACCCGTGCCATTGGGTCCCCATAAAGCCAACCTTGACGACCTGGCAAGCCCAACGCGCTGAGCGCCCGGCTCTGCCAATCTTCGCCAGCCGGATCGTCACGGCATTCCTGCCGATGCTTCCCAAGTCAAACCTGCACCAGACTATTCAGTATAAGCATCTGCCAGTAGGACCAACGCTTGATGCGTATGTGCATATACATATACACATATGTAACAAACATGCATGCGTGTGTATATATATATGCCTATATATTACTACATACATAGACATGCTGTACATGTCGGGAGGGTGCCCCAGGCTGGCTGCCTATGTGCAAGCACTAAACTGCCACTTCGAACTCTCAGTTCTAACCCAACCCCTGAAGCTGCAAGCATTCAGACTTGGAGAGGAACTTCAATGCTCACGTCACACCTGCACCAAACCCACCCCCTCAACTTCCAAAGACCCAGATCCACCCTGCGGCGGAAAGCAAGAAATGCGTTCCGCGGCCGATGAGACACCCTCTACCCATATTCCCTTGGTACATCAGTCTGAATACCGGGTATTTCGTTCAGCTCATTGAGACTCCTGGCCCCGAACTCCGAACTCCAGCGCCCCGGAGTGTCGGAGGCCGAAAAACAAATACCCTCCCACCGACTAACATGGAAGTGCAAAAAGGCACTTTCCAAAAGGAAAGTAGTCTTTCCACAAGGGTCTGTGCACTTCCATGTTAGCTGGTGGGAAGGTAGCATCAACAAGTTGACCCCGCAGGCATCCCAACGCCGCTCCCCGTGTGACAAGTATGTCAGATGAGCTTTGCAATATTTCTGAGGACCCGAAGGGTGCTGTTTCCTCATCCAAAGCTTGTCTCAAGTGCAAACACGTCCTGTGCGCTTCCAACTCCTCCACATCCGCAATCACCTGCCACTGTCAGGCCCTCACCTTGCCACCTTTTCCCGCTAGGCCTTTTCAGTCACATGTCCATCACCCTGATTGTTGCACATACCTTGGGTTTTACAGCTGGACCAACCTCTTCCATTCGCCATATCCATTCGGAACCTCACCATCCGCCTGCAGTGCCTGCAGTCGACGCGGGCAACAGGCCTCGACATGGGGTCCGACTCGCTTCAGGCCGGCAGGGGTCAGCTTCTGCACGGTGATGTACTTCAGGTACCTCGTCCGGCGGGACAGCATTGACACCTAGTCAGGCCTCTGGCCAAAACGATGCCTATATACATATATATATATATACATGGTATACAGATATTCAACACACAAGAACGGCCAGCCCTGTTTATGAGTGGAACTATCCGTTGCGAACTGTCACTTGCCGAGCCTGGAATGTTGCCGTTACCCACAGCTTTGAGGACCACTGTGCAATTATGAGGCCAATAACAACGGGCCTGCTCAAACTGAGGCAGAGGGCGAGTGAAACACAAGGAGAACTCACCCATTGAGATGTCGTGCACTTTGGTCATCTCAGGGCTTGGATTCCCCAAAATGCTGCACAACATGAATGGTCAGAATTAGACTCGAAACTTTGACAAATTTAGCCAAATGGGTGTAGATCAAGCAGCCACCTGTGCATAACCCTAGCCTGCCAAAGGCGCACGTGTCTGTGGAGACACCTCCAAACTGTCTAGCATAGCCACTAGTGGGCAGGCCTCGGGCAGAGCATTGCCCACGAGTCGAACTTACACAGGGAGTTGGGTGCCTGTTTTTGAATTCTCTTGTTGAGTTTGATTTGCCAGGAAACCAAGCATGTTGGGGGTGTTCCCCCCTATTTTGGGACAAGCCCATTTGAACTTCGGGTGTCTCTGACGGCTCGGCCTGTCATTGGGATCGCATTTTCCGCCATCATGCACGCAGCATCTGCTTGTATAGTAAAAATCGTACGGGTCTACTTTGTGAAGCTCCGGGGTTTCAATCCAACCCTCATCTGCCTCTGCCACAGCCAACGCCATTCGAAAAAACCAGCGTCTACCCTTCCCCATGTTTGGGTGGTGTCAAAAGGAAACACCAAAAGGAAAACTCAAACCAAAAGGAAAACTTAAAAAACCAAAAGGAACACTTAAAAAAGCCAGAAGGAAAACTTAAAAACCAGAAGGAAAACTTAAACGCCAAAGGAAAACTTAAAAGCCAAAAGGAAAACTTAAAAACCAAAAAGGAAACTTTTAAAACCAAAAGGAAAAATTGAAAACCAAAAGGAAAGAAAACTTAAAAACCAAACGGCAAACTTAAAAACCTAAAGGAAAACTTAAAAGCCAAAAGGAAAATTTAAAAGCCAAAAGGAAAACTTAAAAAACAAAAAGGAAAACTTAAAAACCAAAAGGAAAACTTAAAAACCAAAAGGAAAACATGAAAAACACAAGGAAAACTTAAAAACCAAACCAAAAGAAAACTGAAAAACCAAAAGGAAACTGAAAGACCCGCCACTTTTGCGGGTCCCAAAAAAAAAACAGAAAAGGCGGGCCACCCCTTTGGCGCCCCGCAGTGGTTGGTGCCGCTGGCGTAGTCCCCGCAGCTCTCAGGCGCAAAGGCGCCTCATGCCGAGCGCCGCGGACGCGGACGCCCTGAGATCCCCGGCGAAAAGTCTCTGACTTTTCTCGGGTGAAATCTGGTTTTTAGTTGGCGAGGATGAGTTGCTCCATATAACTCATATGTTGTCTTGCTGGATGTGTATATATATATATATGGCTGTGGGTGGTTACATCCCAATCCAACCACTAGAAATAGGTTCTAAAATGGGTGGTGAATTCGCCTACCCCAAAATGGTACCATTGGTTTTAACCCACAGCCCCCCACAAAACCAACTAAAAAACTGAAAAGCTCAGAGGATGGCTGGCAGCCACCAGGCGTAAGGGTTGCGTTTCGCACTGGCCACCATGGCAGTCGCAACTGAAGGCTCTTGAATTGCCCAAGAAGAGTCCAGTATCACAAGGGCATGGGGGAGGACGGGGCATCACGATCAAAGCATCAACGGCCATCCCACCGAAATCCCCCCATGCATGCCAGATTCACGAGTCTGAACTGAGCACTCGGCCCATGAACACAGAGCCTGCGTTGACCACCCGCTCCAAATAAGCCTGGCCAAGGCTAAGGCTCGCCCTTGGCGTGTGCCGATATCCGTCCATTTGTGACATCATCTACTTGAAGCATTAGCCTCGTCCATTTGGTGTGTGCTTCAAGTGGATGAGGTGTCATTGCGAAGCTGTCTTCCGAAGTCTTGTTTTGCCAATGCCCTGACGACAGTCAGAGCAGAGCTCCTGCCTTCAGAAGAAGTCATGTTTCGGGGGTACTTCCTTCCCTGCGAAATCTGCACAAAGCCCTTTCCAAGAGATAAATGTTCAAAATGATACCAAGTTGTGTGGCTTGGGCCAACTGGTTGAAAGAAAAGAATGGTGCGTATTTGTCTCACAAAGCATCCCATCAAGTTGATGCGGGTTTGGGGGGGGGTCATTTCAAGTCGCAGACCTCCTCTCAGTTTCACGGAGGAGTCTTCCGCCCGCCTCTGGGTTGGCAGCTTGCACCACCAGATGCTCCGGCCCGTACCTGCGGGCAAAAGCCGGCAGACCATTCTGGGTCTCGGGAGGCGTGGCTTCCCTTCGCTGCGGTGTGACTTGCGGAAGAATTACGTCCTATGCCATTTCAGCTGATTTCCAGTGCCTCCGGTTCGATGAAGCAGTATGAGTCACAGAAGTACGCGACTCTGCCCAAAGACCCAACTTGCTGCAATCTTATTGCGCGCTCCTTCGGGACATTGGTTGACACACAGTTCGATGTTCAGATCTCTTGCCATCGAGTAGTCATTGAGCAGTTCGCTCTGGTGAAGTGGAGCGTATGCGGTATATCCACGCTCCATCCGCTGGAGCAAGGAGCGACATGCTACCTCTTGGCACATTCCCCTTCCTTCCCCTCCCCTTCCTTCCCCTTTCTTGCCCCTCCTTCCCCTCCTTCCCCTCCTTCCCCCTCCTTCCCCCCATTCCTTCCCCTTCCCCTTTTCTTTTCCCTACCACTCTACACCCTGCAGTCCGCAATCACAGGAGGGTCACCTGCAAGGCAGAATCGTTTCCAGCAGTACCCCGCGGGCACGTCAACTCAATATTGGCGCCAAGTAACGCCGTTCCAACAAACGTGCGCCGGGAAACGCGTACGAACTCCGAACTCTAGCGCGTATCATGTGAGTAGCGCTCGAACCAAAAGGTTGCGTTGCTGCTTACAGGCCCTCACTGTAAACCCTCTCCAGGCAGGGAGCACGTTTGGAGCAGCTGAGATTAGGATACTGCTCATGAAACTCCCCCTCTTAAGTTAGCATAGCGTTGAACTCGACCCTTTTGCAACATAAGGGTGACAATGGCTTGAACAGAATTCAGACTTTCCATGTTGAGATGATGGGTCCGTCACTCATCAGGCTTTTCAAAAGAACGAGTGGATATGTCCCAAAAAGAGCAACCCGCTCGTTTCTCAACTGCCACGAGGGGTCCTTCTGCCAGCCTTGGGGGCTCACCCATTGGAGAAGCTCATCGCTGCATCCAGCGAATCCACAATGATCACGAAGCTCTTGCTGAGAGCTTGCTGGGCCGGCCACAGCGATGCGCCACGTCAACGCGTTCAAAGGCCACCCGGTTTTTCCATCAAAGGCGTCTAGATCTGACCGTCCTACTCGGATTCCAGCCCTGCTCTGCTTGCTTTTCTTTGTATTGTGTCGACCTGAATCAAGACCAACAACAATGACGCGTCTTATAACACTGCGTTGATGAAAGACACTCAAAGCACTGCGTTTTGCAAGGAACCTGTGGAACGTGTGTATCGCCCGGCAAAAAAGAACAATGTCCCCACCGTAGTTGCAGTACAGGCCATTGGTCCTTCCGGAAACACAGCTCCGCTGCGACTTCTAGGGGCTAATCGGGCCTGGACCTGTATTGCGTGGATCGTGTCACTAGCTCGGAAAATGTGGACCATGTCAAGTATAGAAAGTTATACAAGGCCTGGGTCTGGTAAATGGTAAATCGACAAGACATGTACGAGACATGTGGGCAATGTCGAGCATGTCGGGTTGCTCCGTTTCCTGAGAAATGAACAGTACGAAACCAGGTTTGAGCCACGCAGGTGAAGAGTCGTATAATGCCATGGATGTGACGGAGGGCGTCGTTTCAGGGCCTACCCCCAATCTACCCAACATGTTGGTTTGGAGCAAGTGCATGCCAGAAGGAGTGAGTGTATTCCTCGATTTGCCTACATTGTCTTGCACATCCATTCAGCAAGCCAACGACTACGAGAATCCCAATGCACAAAGTGGCTGCAAGTGATTCTCAACTTCTGTCGTAGTCAAACACCATTCCGCCCAAACCATTCCAGTCGTTAGCCTTGGACCCGTGAATGCTCGCTGCGGGTGGAGCCTTCATCAACACTTCGACAAGAATGGCTGTGGCTCAAAGTTGGAAACCAAATGGCACCAGAAGGTACATGGGAACCAAAGACTACCGGTTTGCCCTAGATCTTTAATTTTGAGCCACACCCAAATTGCTTTTCTGCCCGCCCCATTCGTGTTCTGGAGCCTTGGTGATGTCTCTGCGTGACAGCTTGGCCACCTGCCGATGTCCAAAGCCAAGAAGCATACTGTGGGTTATGGTTTCAACCACGGTTTCAAAGTGGCGCGAAATGGATTTTGCAACCATCCACGGTTTGGTTCGCATTCGCAAGCCACGGGTCGAATAGGTAAGCAACGCGCCACGCGCCAATACGGACTTCAACGCAGCGCACCTGTTGCTCGAACTCCTGGCGAACCTTCGTCAGGAAGTCGTGGCCACCTCCACAGCAGAGATCATGCAAGAAGCCATCAGTGAACCGATCGCCTGGCCTGATGGCGCCACAAAGACACCTCAGCGGTCAACCCATGTCGCAAGAAAGCAAAGCCACGCCTAGAACCCACGGAATGTCTCATGAACACGTCGGCCATGGCCCCATGTGATGTCTCATATGCCTCGTGTCGGTCATATCTGTCTCAGTCCTCCAAGTCATCTGAGTGCCCGCACCCACCACCTGTGAGTCTGGCCCGTGCTCTGCCTCGCGATGGAGAAAGAACTCCCACCGTAACCACGTCCAGCGGCTGGAAAGCTACTTCTTTTGGCTATGAGTTGCTATGAAATTTGCTTCATGTCACAAGGGATCTCACTCCAGGCAACACCTGAACTGCATCCACGAAAAATACATTTAGACGGCGTCAACAACATTGTGCATCTTGCACGCACCGTTACCAGTCTGACAGCACCAGAATGAAGTGCCTGCGAGAGAAGGTCCGCCACCACAAAGGAAGGGTCGCTGCTGGCATCGAAAATGCCTCGAAGGCGCTGGCTAAAGTGCTTGGACCCTCGTGAATATCATGATATAATGCCATGGCTTGGGTCGACGCAATAGTGCACAGATGTGGTGCGGTGTGGTGATGCTACCACTAGATAGCATGAAGATTTGATAATATTATGGTGTGACGTATTCATGTGGGGATGTGATGAGTTCATATGATAAATACATGTGTATATACATGATTACACCATAACAACCAACAGCTAGCCTACCACGTGTCCATGTGGTGGTAAGTGTCTAAAGTGAATGAAATTTCGACTTTCCCGGACAACCAACCATGTACTTTTATTATGCTTTGTGTTTCCCACCCTGGGTGTGGGCAAATGCAGCTCTCCAGAATGCACCCGCGCCATACCCACTGGTCACGCAGCGCGTGGGCAAAGGTGTGGAGCACGCTCTTGCACAGAATCCACTGAAAGCAAGTGTGGAGAACATCAAAACACATCTGCACACCTAGTTTAGCTCACTTGAACACAACGCAACGGAGCCGTGACCGGTGACTACTTTGCTTTCGGTGAAAACATAATATGTGTGTAAGCTTCTGGCCAAAAGAAGAGCAAACAACACGTGCCGCTTCTTCTGGGGATTTGCTGCAACTTCATGGTTGCTTACCTTTCAAGGTCCAAAACAGTTGCCAGATGGCTGTGGGTCAAACATTAGGTACCCCAAGTGCAACCCTGGTAATTGGAAAGAAGGACTAAAACCTGCGGTCCAATTTCTGGTCGTTTTAATTTGACCCATACCCAGATAGTTGCGACCGACCCACTCTGAACATGTGCAGAATCGCGGACCTGGGCTTCAAGCACAACTGCTCCGATGGGCCCGCGGGCATATCGATGGACACCGCTGCCTGGAGGTAGGATCTGACTGGGCTGCCCTCAGATGCCCTGAGAAAAGTCTAACTTTTAGTGGGTTGAATGGAAACCCCCACTAAACCCCAAAAAGCTAAAAAGTGAAGGGGATGGCTGGGAGCCACCAAGATAAGTGAAGCTTGGCCTTGGCCTTTTGGCAGGTCTTGAAAACGACTTCCAGGGGCGCCTCCCTTTTGCGTTGATTCATCCCGGTGGGGCAATGCGCTCTGGGTTTCCGGTATGCAACGCTTGTGCTGGAGAAGGCGTCTCTGCCCAGGCCAAACAATGCGGCTCCCTAGCGGCCAAGCATGAACAACAGAATAGGCAAAGCGGTCGGCCATGCATGATGCAAACCACCACAGCCACAGCGAATGCTGCTGCAACCAACACCAACACCAGCCAGCCAGAACCATGCACAAAACACACACCACAGAACCACAAAACCCAGCACACCACCATCCAGCACACCCAGCAGCACCGCCACCACCAGCACCGCCGCCACCACCAGCACCACCACCACTGAGACAAAAGGAAGGACATGAAAAGAGGATAAGGCGGGAAGGGACGGGCAGGGACGGAAAGGTACGGAAAGAGAAGGTACATGAAAAATGGGTAAGGAAGGGTTGGAAGAGAAGGGATGAAGGAGCCAGGATTTGAGAAAAGAAGCAGAAACATGCAGAAGACAGGGAGAACCAGCAAACATTTGAAAGAAGGATGAGAAAGAGTAAAAAAGAACAAAGAGAAGTTTTGCAATGAAAGAAGAAGGAAGAAAAACGGGAAACCAAGAAAGGAAGAGAAAAGTAGCGACGAAGTGCCATATATATATATATATGTATATATATGTATACATATAAAAGGGCGAGCTCGCTCCTCGTCGTTGGCTTGAAGCATCATCTTGGCGGCTGTCACGTATTGATTGCCAGGGCCCGTGATCTTGTGCACCTGACCGCGCGTCAACTAGAACTTCCCTCTCGAAGAAGGAACGCCATGGGCACACGCCCATACCATGTGCCAACACGATGGAAAGATCATGCCGGAGAGTGACGCAAACGTGACAAAGCGTGTGCAGCAACATGCCATCAACGCGAACTGGTGGTTGCTGAGGCCGCTAACCCCGTTGCCTGAACACGCCTCCCTGACCCAAGCCTGATGTCCCGAACAGAATATTGATTTTCCTGTGGCTGCTCAAAAGTGGAATCCCAAAAATGGCCCCCTAAATGGAAAAGACTAAATCCTGCTAGCTCTCTTCTCTAAATGTGTGCACCCATGTGGGTGCGTCTTTTCTTGGGGGTACCCTGCTTTCTTTTTTGCGGTTTTGCAGGGAAACCAAAAGGAAAACCCGTTTTTGCGCCATTTTGAGGGTCCAAAACCTAACGAAAACACGAGCCACCCGCGTGTCAGTGCATCGCCCCACCTTCGGGCAGCTCTTGGTGCCGAAAGCCATAGCAGCCTTGGCCGATGGAGCAGTTCGGTTTCTGGGAAATACGTGGTGCAGTCAAACTTTGACCCCTCACAATCTCCTAAACGGCAAATTTATAGAGAGAGAGAGAGAGAAAGATACAATAGCCACCTGAGGTGGAACCTTTGGCAGTCTGCAGGATTAAGCATCTACTTCCACCATCCCCAGTGCAACAGGCAAATGCAAATGACCTGCAAAATGAAACTGATTGCAGTTTGGGATGGCTGCTGCCATTCGAGCAAAAGAACGATGTGGTGCCATCGAAATCCGAAGTATCAACCATGATGAGGCAGATTGGAAATGCGTGAAAGTGTCACTATGGTTCAAGGTAACCTTCTTACGAGGCAGTACTCGACTGCAATCTGCAGGGCAGTGCAAAAAGTGTAAAGGGCTTGTGGTGGTGATGACTCATACTCAGCTAGGACACCTCTCCGAGTTTCCTGAAGCTGAATTAAGCCGACGTAGCAGGAATGCGCACATCCGCCAATCTCTCAGTGGCTATCATTGCGAATGAAGCTATACAATTGAGCTGCAACAAAGGGCTTGGAAATCTTGTCTACCGTTGAGTGTACACTGCACCTGGCCTCATCCACAAAGAGTTGTTCTCAGACTTTTACCACCAAGCGTGGGGAGTCCACACCACTCTGAACACTCAAGTTTCGTCCGAGGCACGAGTTCAGGGTATGTCAAAAATGAGGGGACCTGGACCCTCTGATTTTTTATTTTGTTTTAAAAAGGCGTTCAACTTCCGGGGTCCCTTTCAAACCAACCCAAGTCTGGCCGCTGGGCTTCCGCTCGATGGCCTGCGCGCCGCCGGCTTTCAAGATCTTGGTGGCGCCCGCCCGCTTGGCGGCATAGACCACCTGCCGACCGAACGTCTCGTCACCCGGTTGAGTGTTCCTTAAGAGACTGGGTCAATGCCGGGAATCCAAACCAGTTTGATAAACGGCCATGGGTCATGACCTATGCCTCCATTTTGGGGCGGAACACCCATGTACCACCTATCTTGATGTTCAAAAGGGGTACACAGGGTTTTGACCCACAGCCAACCTGTGGACATCATTTAGCTGGGGATTTCATGTCCACCAAAGCCAAAGACCAGGAAAAGCCACATGGAAATGCAACAAACCGGCTCCGGGGTTCCGGATGCGGACGCATGACTGTCCTTTGGCGAAAGCAGCCGGAACCCGTTGGTTGAAACAAGTCCTGCTCGGCTCCCTGAAAGATATCTTACTCGGAAGGGGGTCCTTCCAATCGGCCAAAACACCGCAAGAAGGCCACACATCTTGGAGAAAACCGGGATCACTTCCCGTCATGCTCTCGACAAGCCCTTGAAGCACTCTCCAGGCCTCTGGGCAAATGCTGCCATCTGCTCGTGGAGGCGTGGCAAGGACGATCTGAATCGAGCATCACGCAGCTCCCGGCTTTTTGCTTGGCGAACGCAACAGAGTCGATCTCAACATTTGGAGAATCGATGCCTTGGAGCATACCACGTTCCAACCACATCCGCGGTGCTCCGGACGCCATGTGCCTCCTTGCAACCCGCCAGCTTCGCGGGCGTGGCCAGCATGTACCTTGAACCAAAAGTGACATCCTCCAATGGCAACCTCTGCCGACCAAGCTCTCCCGGGCAGCGCATCTCTCGTCGTTATGGTGTGGGTGGGGTCTGGGGCCATCGAGGAGCACACCCGTCAAGAAATGGGTATGGGTCAAAATTAAACCACCAAAAGACCGCAGATCTTAGTGCATGTGTCCATTTACAAGGGTTCCATTTTGGGTACCTATTTCTGACTCACCGTCAAATATCCCGCACAGACAAGGGCCCTGCTCAATCTCTGACCGGGGCACGCGGTGGATGGCAGCACGGCTGTGCCGCCAGGCACATAGAGGCCCACCGCCTCAATCTCACAGGTTTGAGTTGAACTTGGTCCTTCAGTGGGACTGTTTTGGTGCGCTTGAAATGCTTGGTCATCGCAATTAGTGTCTGTTCTGAGGCGTGTTCTCAAGCGCTACATAAACATATCAGGACATTGGTCACGATTGATTGAATGGTTTCCTCTTCGCAGCCGATGAATCTCTGAGCAGATCGAAAGCAGAACTTTACGAGACAACTTGATTTAAACGCCTAGCACACCTTTGCTCAAAGTGTCAGCCGTTCGGATGTGCCAATCCCCTTTGGTTTCCTTTCTTCGGGAATCCCCAAAACCGGTTCATTCCCACATTCCCTACCTATCGCACCAGCAAGTCACTGCTTTGCTCGTGCCCGCGGGCCTCAATGGGCACGGCGAGGCGGCGACACCTGAAGGTCCCGCAAGGACCCATTGCCGCATTGCCGCGGTGAACAAATGGGTGTGGCTCAAAAGGTAACCCCAAAGTGGGTTGCCCGGGAAATGGAGACAAGGACTAAAGCCTCCGGATTGGTGGTGATTGGATCTCTTGGTTTTTGGCTCTGCTCAGCGAGCCTTGGCCAGTCCTCCACTTGTATTTGGGATTCCAGAACTGGGGACCCCGTTTTAGCTCGAGAGGATGTATGTTATATATATATATATGCACACATGCATATATATATATAAATACATACATAATGCAAAATATGTGTATATGGACCTAAACATACACACATCGGGACAAGCAATAGCTGGGTCAGGTCGGAACAGTGCTAGGGGTGAGTCAACAGGCGATGAACCTCTGGCACGAGCTTCTAAACAGGCAGTCGCCAGGATATTTTGCCGTTTAGGGGCCTTACAAAGTGTCCAGTAGTGCACAGAAGACAAACCCTGATGGGTTTCACTCACCAACATGCCTCTTGCTTCGCCACCGGTCTCCAACATCTCCCACAGAACTCTATAAGAGGCCTCCAAAGGCTCAATTTAGAACAAAAAAGATCCCTATCGGCCTATTGCTCACTTCAGAACCATGACATGTCCCGAGAATTTTCTGATTGAGGGACCATTTGTGACCTCCGACGGTTTTTGAGGGTGCTTTGCATTCACATTGAAGCAATGTGCTCAAATTCAAACAAGAGCTCTTTGCACAGCCCCCCTGTAGGAGAGCTGAGAAGGCAAACAGCATGGGGTGCTCTTGCAATGATTTTCTGAAATAACGGAAAGCAGCCGACCGAGCTATCAACCCTACAGGAGAACAACATAAACCCGCCCACAACTTCAGGCAAGTCAGCCATCCAAACTTGTTGGTGCTCAGTGGGGAATGGGAGGGATGGTTTAGCGGGGGCATTCCCACAGTCCCTATTAAGCACCAGCAAGCAAAAAGGCAACCTATGGACGGGAAGTCATATCCCCAGTTGGCTCGGCGACACCCTGCAAGCTCCGCCCCCTGAGCCGCGAGCTCCACCCCCGGCATGGTCTCCACCCGAAGCCGTGGCTTCTTCTGGCAAACCGCTGAACTTGCATAGCACAAAAGTTGAAAGGGAAAAAACACCTTGTGTTTGCCGGCAGCCTTTGCGGTATCCAGGTCTGCCAATGATGTGTGGCTCTTCCTTGCAGATTTACGAACCACATGCTTCATCCTACTGAAGCTATGTGTTGTCCACCAAGTTCATTGTAACTGCAGCAACACCCGCTTGCTCACATCTTGCTGAAGCCAGGCTGGCAGGGATGTAGGCTGGCCACTGAAGCTTTCGCCCACGGAATTCCTTGGCGTGCCTATTGTTTGCTTGTCTGCTAATTGTGCTCAACATTGGCGTGAATCGGTCCTGGCTGAGGCTTTCTAACTAGCAATAACTTGATCAGCAAAGTCACCCGGGTCAATGTTCCTGCGTGCCTTGCTTCATTGATACAGCGTCGTATCATCCATTACATCTATCTCGTACCAGACTTGGTGGACACAAACCCCCACCTACATGATGTCCACCAAAGGATGCCAAGCTAAAAATCATAATGTTGACCCCATATTCATCAACCCCAGTTTTATTAATACGGGGTGTCCATTTCTGGGTTTCGCGGGGAATCAAACCACTTTTGGAGGAGGCAAAACCCCACCTGCCCCCCCCCCCCACACCTCGCTCCCCCGCTCCCCCACTCCCCATCCGTCCTGCGCGGCATGGAAGCGCCGCACGTTGGCGTAGGCGGCATCTAAGGACTCGGCCACTTTGGGCTCCACCTGCCAAAGGCGAATCGAAGACCCGAACTCGACATCGGCGCGCGATCATCGGCGCCAGGTGCTCGGTGGGGATTGTTTTTTTCCCCGGTAGTTGGAGGGCTTCGTCCATCCCAAGCGGGGCAGGAGCCTGTCCATCCACAGTATAGCTCCAATGCAAATGATTCGGCTTGGTTTGAAGGGGAACCAATTTCGAGCCTCGATTTTGACGCACACCCACGTTCTTTTCGCTTTGAGCATGATTTATTACTTGAGGTTCGACCAGTGGGTGGGGGGGTGGGTGGAGAGGGTGGGTGGGTGGGGAGGGATGGTGGGTGCGGAGGGATGGTGGGTGCGGGGGGATGGTGGGTGCGGAGGGGCGAACGAAAGGCTCGCATTCCGACCGTCGTCACCTCGCATTCGCCAGTGATCCCCGGGCCTTGGGCCATGGTGCACTGGCCACGTCGATGATGAGATCATCCTGGCACGCGCGGCTTCCCGAGGGGACTGCTCCCCATGGGAGCCCTGAGCCTCATGTGGTCGATATGCCAGAAAACCAGCGCGAAACCCACCAGAGCACTGGAGAAATGGTCATTCAGGACAACTGTTCTGGGGTTCATGTACCATCGTCCGCCAATGGACCAACAAGTGCTTGCTGGGCAAAACGCCTCACATACATATACACACACAATGCCTGGAAGACCCTTCTCAACATGGAATTGTGAACCCTCTCCCCATTTGAGATTCATTGATAGTTGAGTGTGTATATTTCAAAACAATGGGTTCTTTACAGGGAAACGACAGGAACCCTTTTGGCGTCCCCTTTGAGACCAACCCAAGCGGCTCCCTGGCATCTCCCTGGCTCCCGGCCGGCGACAGCTCCGCGCCGTCGAACTTCTTGGTGATGCGCGCAAGCGCTGCGTCGCCTTCGGCACGGACCTGACAAGTCTGCTACGGACCCGCCAAGCCACCCCCCAGGGGTACACAAATACACATAGATATATGTCCCTTGACACCAAGCCAGCAGGGACAAATATTACCTAGAGGTCTCTCACACATAGATATATACATATATATATATGCAGCCGCAATACTGTATGCCTGTAACATGTATACATATATAGGTATATACTTAGAATGGGAACCTCAGATCCAAGCAGTGTCCTTGGTTGGATGGGTAGTCGCTTGGGTCACTTGCTGCCCCTATCCCACTTCGGATTCGGGCCACGTGCCACTCCCAGCTAATTCTCTCAGACAGGCCCAAAAAATACGACCATTCATGACGATCCCAAGTGGCACGAGCTGTCCTGCATGATCAAGATTTCCTTTATTGGAGTCTCACCTGCTGAGCTAACTAGCCAGAAAAAGCTTGAAGCGTGATGAAGAAACCTACTACATAAAGTTCATTTGTTCAAACGAGTCGAGGAGTGGATATGTTGGCCAAAATACTTCCACTGGACGATTGAGCCTCCTCCACAGGAGTTGCTTCAGCTTTGAAGATGAGATTCGGTGCTTTGTTTTGTGAAGGACACATGTGCGCCTTGCCCCTCGAAGAGAATACTTATATTTGTTGCAGGATTGATGACCCACTCGTGACCAACTGAACGCCATATCCATGCCTCCCGCATACCGCGTGGTGACTGTCTCTGCGTGTGTGTGTGTGTGTGTGTGTGTGTGTGTGTGTGTGTGTGTGTGTGTGTGTGTGTGTGTGTGTGTGTGTGTGTGTGTGTGTGTGTGTGTGTGTGTGTGTGTGTGTGTGTGTGTGTGTGTGTGTGTGTGTGTGTGTGTGTGTGTGTGTGTGTGTGTGTGTGTGTGTGTGTGTGTGTGTGTGTGTGTGTGTGTGTGTGTGTGTGTGTGTGTGTGTGTGTGTGTGTGTGTGTGTGTGTGTGTGTGTGTGTGTGTGTGTGTGTGTGTGTGTGTGTGTGTGTGTGTGTGTGTGTGTGTGTGTGTGTGTGTGTGTGTGTGTGTGTGTGTGTGTGTGTGTGTGTGTGTGTGTGTGTGTGTGTGTGTGTGTGTGTGTGTGTGTGTGTGTGTGTGTGTGTGTGTGTGTGTGTGTGTGTGTGTGTGTGTGTGTGTGTGTGTGTGTGTGTGTGTGTGTGTGTGTGTGTGTGTGTGTGTGTGTGTGTGTGTGTGTGTGTGTGTGTGTGTGTGTGTGTGTGTGTGTGTGTGTGTGTGTGTGTGTGTGTGTGTGTGTGTGTGTGTGTGTGTGTGTGTGTGTGTGTGTGTGTGTGTGTGTGTGTGTGTGTGTGTGTGTGTGTGTGTGTGTGTGTGTGTGTGTGTGTGTGTGTGTGTGTGTGTGTGTGTGTGTGTGTGTGTGTGTGTGTGTGTGTGTGTGTGTGTGTGTGTGTGTGTGTGTGTGTGTGTGTGTGTGTGTGTGTGTGTGTGTGTGTGTGTGTGTGTGTGTGTGTGTGTGTGTGTGTGTGCGTTCGAACTTTCGCTGGAGAACTCCAAGCTGCAACTTCAACATCCGCAAGTTTCACGGGGGGCATTCCTTGGCACAGAGCCTGCTCTCTAAATGACCCTTCTGGCCTCCTGGATGATGGGCTCCACCCGACTCTTGGCCAGGGCCAAGTCGATCTTCGGCCGCAGGTACAACTCTGCGCCTGAGGAAAATTCCAAAAACCTGGAGAAAAAATTCGACCAACGGCCTAGCCAGAACCATGCGGCCGTGGGTCAAAACTAGTGGCATCCCATTTCGGGGTAGGTGAGTTCACCACCCATTTTAATCATTTTTAGTTGGGATTGGCATGTTCGCTGGGGGGTGTCCATGGGATTTTGACCCATGGCCCATGTAACTACAGGTAAGGCTCACCTCCGCTGGGATTGTCCAACCCATCCCCTCCTCTGTTGGGCTTTGGGGCTTGGGAAACCAGAGGTCGAAACGAGCTCCGACGATCGCCAAAGCTTGGGCCAAGCGTCGCGTCTCCGCCGAGATCTTGCTATCCTCGATGAGGCGAATACCTGGAAATAGAGCCTAGAGAGCAACAGAAACCAGCGAGAGTCATTCAAACATGGTTTCTCAAGCAAGAAATGCAAAACATGCCTTCCGAAAATCGAAATTTGGTCTGCTCAAACGAATGCACACACCCACGTTCTTCTGATACTTGGAACAGCCTGTTATGACAACTTGATCCCTTCCTTCTCCCAACTCAGTCGCAGTATTGGACCACAGCTGCCACTAGGCGAAACAGGAGGGGGGACGGCCAAAGGAGTCATTATTGGAACTTGGAATGTTCCCAAGGGATTATGAGGCCAAGTGAAGCAGCTCAGAGCGCGTGGGTCAATGAGAGAATGATTGAGGAGCTCTAGAAGCTGCTTGTTTTGCTCAATGCGCAGCACAGGAAATCTTTCACCCGGCATTCTCTGGGGGAGTGAAAATGAGAAGCTCGCGCAGGGCCAAGGCTGTACAGTGTGCTGAATTCCCGCCGTGCCAGCACATGCCAGGGCTGCTCAAAACCTATTCCTGCTTGAGAGGTCAGAGCAATGTAAGGAGTTGGACCTCCATCATAATTTCGCATGGCGCATATGCTCATTTGGGCCCCATTCCATCACTCAGCCATGGCCCAGTCAAACGACCTCGAAGTCACGGCAACGGTGCTGGCAGGAAGTTGCCCCTTTCGAGCCAGGGGCGAGCTGGCGGGCGTGGGCCAGATTCAGATTCCACCAGTCTTCACCACAAGCATTGACCCCTGGTGTACATGTTGACTCTCCTGAGTTCATGGGCCAAAAAAAGTAACCAAACTTTCTGTTTACCACTAAAATGGTCTTCCCAAAAAGTTTAAAGTCCAACTCAGGGAGTGAGTTGATCCACATGTCAAGTCTTGCAGACTATGTCACGGAGGATCTGGCTTTCGCCAATTCCATCTCAACTCTCAATGACCGACAGCCACACAGCTCCCATGCCTCAGCCACCAGGCATGCGGAGAGTCAACTCGGTGTGCTTGGGGAACCAAAAGGGAGGCCAGGTTTGGAGATACCCGTGGACAAGCACATCACTTCCCCTTGTTTCACATGCAACCAGCCCTGCTGTCAAATGGCGTCCGTCACAGGAATCCGGCAAACAGAGGGGCGGAAAAAAGGTCGCTTCAGCAATGGATACTCGCTGCAAGCTCTTGAAGTAATATGAAGCCATCGTGGAAGAGCTGACAGCAACCAAACCAGTCACTCCGTGGTTACAGTTCTTCCTTGCTCTCCGAGGTGCGTGAAAGGCCTGCACGAATTTGCGGTCGAGCATCGGAGGAGAAATCCAGCCATTCTATCCTAATTACTGACAAGCGATCGAGTGAACCAAACAAAAATGCAGGGGCAACTGCCGCAACAGACCAGGTGATGGCAGAAAGCACGTCGACTCGAATGCTCAAACCACAAGGGGTCAAGAGTGTGAGCGGGGCCGGAGCAGGATTGGTGTGTTCCTACGCGCCCCTTCCGACTTAGCATGAGGAACCCACCGGCGGTTAACCGCGTTGGTGGTTTCAAGAGACTGGAGTTCGCCCAAACCCCAAAGGCCCAAAGAAAGCCGAGCCCATGTGAGACTTGGCCTGGCAGGCCTGTGCAAATGGACTTGTCTTACCCTCCCACCTGCCATGGGACTTGACGTTGAATGTGTGTCCTCATGGTTGTCCACAGGATGGGTTAAGGCCAGGATTGGCTGGAGTGTAGCATTTCAGCTTCCCAACCAATTGGTGATTCAGTTTTTGGGTGGCTTCCCAACTAGCCTCTACAAGGCGTTCAAGTCCAAATCCAAACCAATCCAAACCACCAAGGGTTCCGCCGATTTCCCTTCCCCGCTGGGTGGAATGACCACTGCTTTTGTATGGAGCAACCCGCGGGGTTGCCCGCAAACATCGCCATGAACCCTTGGAAACTCAAGCCCCCCAGGCCTGGCGGACAAGCAGCAGCACAGGCCCCGCGGCGCTTTCCGCGGCGCGCCGGGCGCTTTCCGCGGCGATCGGCGCGGCCAAAGTGCCAAGAAGGGCTCCGCCTGAACCGCTGGATCAGAACCGATGGCTTTCACTTTGCAAGCTTCTGCCTAAAGCTGAAAAAGCACAAAAGATTAAAAAAAAAAAAAAAAATCGGATTGAATGCACTTGTAATCATGGTAACACTGAAGCAAAAAGAAGAACTCGGATGGAATCCGTCAATTGTGCAAAAAGATGGGGAAGGCACTGAAGCCTCAACCCACTCATGTGTACAATTCCGACGTGTCTGCTTTGACCGGACCCGTCTGGAAAAAAGCTCTGTGCAATGCAGCGCACCTATTTGCCTTCCAAGATATGTTCACAGAAGCACTCGCGATGGAAAGCCGTGAACCCCCCCCCGAAGCATTGCTTATGGCATATGAGTCGTATGAGCCCCAAACGAAACTTGTTGTTCCCAAGAGAACATTAAAAATAGGCTTATGTCTCTAGGTTGTGGATTAGTTGGTTTTGTCCCCTCTTATATCCCTTTACATCAACAGCAGACTACCACTGATTTTGCTAGTTGCTCATCTTTGTTGAAAACAGTTGCTCATACATATGGCCGTGGCTTTTTGAGGGTACCATGGCTACCCTGTTTCAGGCTGGTGTAAGGGGAAATTGAAAGGAAAGCAACCATTTGTGGTGTCCAACTCTTGCGCTCCTGCCTGCGAGTTGGGAGCTTCCGAGGTCCTGAGCTGCGGCGCGGAACCCAATGCTCTTCGCTGAAGTCTGTCTCTTGGGGGGGGGGGGCTATAGACGTAGGACGCGTTTTTGTTGCCAAGTGCTCAAAAAAACGGCGAAACCACCCCCAATTCGGAGTCCTCTGAAATGCTGCTCACGCACGCACACATACGCGGTCATGTACGACCTGGCCAAGCCGCTCATCCTCCGCCTTTGTGCCTCGCAACTTGGGGCGCAGGGGGCAAGCTGCTTTCAATGGAGACCGGGATTTGGAGTGGAACCTGTGCGATCGAAAAAGAGGAGCCTGGAAGAATCCCAAAGCCTGACCTCGGTTGCTTTCTGCTCCCCTGCTAAAAGTTTAACTTCTAGTGGTTTGATGGAAAAACCCACAAGTTGGCGAAAAGTTTACAGTCCTAACATCCCTTGGCAAAATGCACCGAAGTGACAACTACTTGGCTTGACGCAGCTTCACAGCTTCACAGCTTCACAGCTTCACAGCACTCGACTCTCAAGCTGCTTGCCTTCTAACTCTGCCAGCCGCTCCGCAATCATGCAGTTGCTCCTCGGGCAGAACAAAACACGGAACTGGGCAACCTGCGGATTGCGCGACACAAGCAACACAAGCCACACTTGGGTATGCGTCAAAATGAAGAAAAAAAACATGGCTTCGCGGAAAGGCCCCCCTTTAGTCCAAGCCAAAAAACTTTTCCCCCCGCTATACCGCCACGAGCCGAGAACCTTGCGCCACCGGCCGAGCCACGGAGATCCAGTCTCCGCCAGCGCCAGAGCCCAGCGCAACTTCGTCACATCGCCATCCAGGGCGGCGCAGTTGTAGGCGGCGCTGATGGCGCCTGCGATTTGTCACGTCCATCAGTGGTTTGGATTGCTTAGAGGTTGGCGCGGGAGACGTCCCTTTTATCCTACACAAGAACCAGGGTTCAAAAAGCAGACCCCCCAAACTACCGAGCCAAGCCACTAATTGAGTACCTAGTGCACCAACTCAAACCTTGCCAAAAACGGCAAAACAAACCTGCCAGAGGCAACGTTCGACACCAAATCAAAGGAAGAAGCGCACACTATCTAGCTTTCACTTCGGATTCCGTCAGCTGACACTTCTCTGCCTAGCACTGTCGCACCAAGGCGTAGAGGTGGAGACGGAGCCTCGCCGACATGGTGTGACAGGCGGGGGCCGGAGCAACAAGAAAAGAGATTGGATCTGCATCAATGCGTATCGCCAGGCTGTCGGCTATGTCAAAGCTGTTGCGCTATGCATGTCAAAGCAAAATCCTGGCTAAACGTCAAAGAGATTCGGACAGAGTATGCCGAATCGGCGATTCAGCCCAATTATACCTGGACATGTGGCCACTCAGCCATGTTTAACGTTTTGCGTGCACAAGCGCCTAGTCAAAATTGCTTCAAAACCCACGCTTAGTCACGAGTCATGATGTTAGGGGTAAACCATTGCTAGCTGTTTTAGCCTTTTATAGTGTTGAAGCCACAATGAACTTTCCAAGACCCAAACAACACTCGCCCACCTCGCAACGGATCAAACCCAACCCTGGTGCCTGCGCCTTGGTCGCCTCTTCTGCCCAGCGGCAGAATGCAGGAAGCACCTGGTGGGGGCGGCGGGTCTGTGCGCGTCTTCCTCTTGACCGTTGAATCGGCCAAAGAGCGCACTCTAGAAACCTTCTAAAGATTGGATAATATGGCCATGGGTCAAAGTCCCGGCTACCCCCCAGTGAACATCCCAACCCCCACTAAAATAGGTTCTAACATTCGTGGTGCATGGGATCCCAAAACGGTTTTGACAACCACAGCCATATCTGCGCCGTGCTTTTTAAGTGCATGCCGACGGGACCTAAGCTGGGCCCAAGCTGGGCTTAACACGAACCGACCACCGCAGGCATTCCACCCTTGCACCTCTGGGCGTCCAAAAGCTGGCGGGACCAAAGCGTCATGGCTCAATCTGTGGCCTCATGGAAGAGGGTGACGGCCTCGTTGTCACGTCCTAGGAAAAAAAAGACAAAAAGAGGTCGAGATCGGCTGATCGGCTTTCAGTGCTTTGGGGTCCTCTTTAGCCAGGTGTTCTTGTTTGGGTGAAATTCCCAGATCAATTGCTGGCGAGCCGTCCGGGAAGAGCAAAAATGAACCACAAGCGACACGCTCAAGCATTCCAAAGCTCAGATTCCTGCCAATCATAGAACAAGCAATTGCATTCAGCATGATTGCACCAATTCGCGGATGGCCTATTCGACGTTTGGCCCCCGCTTGCCGACATTGCCATCTTTTTCCCTGGCTGTCCTTGCAGCTGCAGGCAAAAGGCCAAGCTCGCCTGCCCTGAGCGGAGAACTGCGTGCCCACATGTTTGCTGTCACACCTCTTCTGTCGGACTGAGCACCAAGCGTGCCAAAGAATCCGCACCTTTCTCAATGGAGTCCTGGGATTTAAAAAAAGAAGCACGTCGTGCATGCAGGTTCACACATGAAGCGACCAAAAAGCCTCAGCACCCTGTCCCGCAGAAGTTGTTCGGCTTCCCACAGCAGGCTGCAGTCGCCGGCCAAGGCAAGTTGCAGCAGCACCTTCGCAAGCAAACTCCGAAAACGCCTTGGATACTGAAACTCTATCATGAAAAAACGCTTCCTTTGAGAGAGCGTGCAAGACTGATGTGGACGCGTTGGATCTGGTCTCTGTTCGAGAAAACCAAACTCCACCTCTGCCAGCAAATCGCGAAGCACAACCTGCCTGAGCTAGGCCTTCTCTGCACTTATTGCTGGAGCCCTCCTCCACGGTCCAGCGAAAGAGGCGCTGGGCCTGGCGAGAAGACGGCTGTGCTCGCTTCACATGACGCTTGGGCGTGAGTTGGGGATTTGTATACCCGGGGTGTGCTCAGATCCCCTGCAAGAAGTTTAGCTTTTAGTTTGGGTTGAATGGAAACTACCACCAACTAAAAAGAAAAAAAACTAAGGGGATGGCTGGGAGCCACCAAGATACTCATCAGGCGGTTCAGATACCCCAACCACTTTTCAGGCGGCTCCAATTCTTGAAACTCATCCCATGTCCATTCCCTTCCGATCTGCCTCCATCAGCAAGGACATCTCTTCTGCAGGCAACCCACACCTGGCAAAACTGCTGTGACCCAATGATTGTTGTAGTGGTTTCCTCATCGGCTTGCAGTAGTTGAGCTCTCACACTCCCTAACTTGTCGTAGCTATGCTCGAGTATCGTAGTCTTCGAGCGGTCTTGGCGTAGTCTTTCCAGAGTACTTTCCAATAAGGCCTCTTTCTTCCAATTGCGCAGTATTGAATGGGCCATAGGACATGCTGGCAGGGTTGTTGTAAATCGCGCGATTGTTGGCTGGCTCATCATCTGTTGTTGTGGTTTTTTCCCCGCTTTTCGGTCATTGGCTTAACGAAATTCACGTCGATGGTGTATACTGTTTCAGGCAATGGTGCCAGCCTGTGCCACTTGCATTCGTATAGTGCTACTTGAGGGGAGCGGGACATATGGCTGTGGGTCAAGAATATGTACCCATAAATGGAAACTTGGACTACAACCTGCGGTCCCCTGATGATCTAATTTTGACCCACACCCATATGAGGCCCGGCTTTCCCCTTGCACTTTGAGGCACCCAAGACCTTGTGCCATCCCCCCGCCTTTGGTTTCGCAGCATGGTCTCCCCGTGCTGCAGAAGCAACATCTCGGCCAACTGCCTCTGGGAGCATGCGGAAGCTCGGTGGAAAGCACTCGATAACCGAGAGACGGAAAAAATGTAGCCAACTGTCGCTCAACAACACCTCATATCCGCAGACACACAGGCCTACCACTGCATGCATAGATGGTTGTGCATAAAGAATCTTGCGCAACCAGTCATGATGGTCCATTTCCACTTCAGATCCAACGTAGGGTTCCTAGTTGCTAGTAATCTCAGGCCTCCTTTATTCATAGTACCCACTATTGTACATGATTTTCTAATTCGATCAGGATCCCGTGACTTGTCCAGTTACTTGTCCACTTTGCCACCTAGAAGTTGCATGGATTCCCACTGCCAGGGCTCTGCGAAGCCGCCTGGCGCAGTGGTCTCGGCACTTGGCCCCGCAGCAGGCGGCGCAAGACCAGCTCCGCGGACGCGAAGCGGCCCATTGCCTGTGTGGCTTGCGTGGGTCACTCGCTCGCATCCAGCCGCTTGCTGGATGGAAAAGAAGCACATGTTTCGCGCCCTTTGCGGATGAATCATGTCGACCAGGTCGACCCTTGAAAAACACAAAAACAGTTGCTGCTCGGGGGGTCCCCTGAAAGAAAGGAATCCCACCAAAAAAAGGGACCCCGCTGATCACTGACTGAAGAGTATATTAACATCAACTTTCAACATGAGTTTTGCAGCAGGGAACCAGGGGAACCCACCATCTCCACCCCCCCACCCACCCCGCCCCCCCACCCATCCCCCTTCCCACCCCCCCACCCATCCCCCCCCCCCGCCCCCGGCTCCCGCCTCCAGGGCCACCGCCTGCCCCAGCCACGCCACCTCGCGCACCGCCCCAGAGCTCCGCGCCGCCGCCGAGGCGTAGAGCTCCTGACCCAAACCGCAGGCGTGGTCCACCCGAAGCCCGGGCTGCCCGCGGAAATGGCCCGCGGAAATGGCGTGGGAAAACCAGAAAGAAAAAAAAGAGAGCCGGACTCAAAACCGGTATGAAAGAATGGTCGACCCAGAAGCATGCTTCAAGAATTGAGAAGGCGGCCGCTATGTGTGGTTGGGATTGTCCCTTACGAACCTTCACTTACCTGGGTTTTGGTTGTGACGCATGTCTTGCTGCTCAGATGCCCAGTGGATTTCCATGGGGAAGAAGAAAAACAAACGGGCATCCGATTTTTTGGGGTTGGTTGAGTTTAAAGGGGAACCCTGCCCCCAAAAAAGAGGAAAAACGGGCGCCCACTTTGCAACTGGGGTTGGGTCTGGAAATCTTGGACTTGAAAAAAAAAGGGGGGGGTCCTAACATAAACTTTTGGAGTCAGGTTTCTGGTCAAGGTGCTGTTGTCATCTCATGTCATCTCGGGTCTGTCCTTTTTTTTCACCCAGCACCGACACTTCACTATCAGTCAATGCAGTCAAATTGACCAGCTCAACCCCATTTAGTCCTGTCATCTTTTGGTCCGCTCAATTGATTCTTGTTCGCTTCAGTCGGTGTATCGCGTCCAGAACGACAGGACCCAGGGTTGCACAAAGCACCACAGCTTTGCCTTCCCCGGTCGCTCTCGTCATCAAGCTGATTGCCAATAAATCTCTCAGCTCGCTTTCCGAATGCGGTCTCAACAGCTCAGGGGGGGCTTTCGGCGCGGATGTTGATTTCGCTCCTGCGCCTCCTGAGGGCTTTGCGGCACCAGGAAGGCCGCCAGCCGCAGCCGGGCCCTCAGCTTTCGCCGGCCAAAAACTGGGAACCACTGCTCCGGACTACCGGGTTGCTGGGTTCACGCAAAGAAGACCACTATGTTTGTGTGTTCCAGAAATCAGTTATGCGTATGTGCTTTTGTTAGGGAAACGTTAGAGGGGAAACCAAGCATAGGGGAGGTTCCTTCCCACTTAGCGCAGAACGAATTGATGTCTCAAATCTGTCCAAAAGTGCACCACATGGAGATGTCTTCTCAAGAGTGTCCCAAAACAAAGTCACCAACATGACTACGTGCGTCTCCGCCAAACGTGGCCAGCATAAAGCAACATGACATTTGCCTCTCTCCGCGTCCACCCCTTGCGCGAAGCAGACCAGACTCACCGTTTTGCTCCTTGACTTGCCCTCGGAATGCACAACAAAAGAAAATAAATCATGGCTTCACCATGGGCCGAACAAGTTTGAAGAGGCTTCTGAATTCCAGGCCCTGCCGCGAGCTAGACTGGGACAGTTGGTCCAACTAGTTCAAAAATTGGCAGTGCGGGATTCGTATGAAGCTATGTGGTACAGGCCTCTTCTTCTCTAAGGAGCAGCCTGACTTGCTTCCTCCTTCACTTCGTAAACAGCGCTCCCCAACTCTTCCACGACATACATATATAGTTGTATAAATGTCTATAAATACACATTCCACTGGAAAGTCCGCACATCACGGACTCCCGAGAGGCAAGCATTGCACCCTATCTGCATGCAAAAAAAGGAAACCTTCGAATTAGCCAGATCAGGCCTTTGCCCACTGGGAGGGAATTGCAAGAGGCGCACAGGGTCAAGGCAAGGACTCGAGTGCGTCTCAGAAATGCAGCGCCCGACAGGGGAGCGACTGATTTGGTACTGTGCAAATTGGCTGCGGTGTCTCGCTGGATTAGACAGCGCACTCTGCCTGGATCAGTCCGGCCCAAGCTGCGGAGCTAGCACCACATGGCGAACTGGATCTCAGAATCCGAATGGCAAATGAACAAACATGGCAACAAGGTCTCCGTGGGGAACTGCACAGGCATCCTGTTGAGGATGGAAAGGGGGGCCCTTGCGGCCCAAAAATGAGCGGGCGGGAGCTCAATCTTTACACACTCCCGTCCCACTGCTGTGACGGCTGTGTCCCTATTAACACAAGGGATCCAGAAAGGCCTGGCTTTCGCACAGCTGTGAAGCCACTGTATGCTGCAATCCCCTCCAAGCTCTTGACAACTGACCCTCTGCCAAAATCTCAATTCCGACAGAGGCCATATGGCTCAGGTTGGGACAGGTTGCGAGCGCCCGGCTGTCCAGGATGAGAGGGGTAACCCAGCAGTACAACTCCTGAGGTCTTTCAACCCACAGCCAAAGCTCCCACGCCTCCTGCAACCTTCCCACCAGAGCTGCTTGGGGGGAAGGGCCGGCCAAGCACATTCCGAAACAATTCGGTGACCACAAACATTTTGGTCCGACTTCCATCCCGGGCAACGGGATGTGACTTAAGCAAAAGGTTCAGGAGCCAAACGGATCCTGAAACGCCTTTCGGGGTTTCCCCCGCGCCGACCCCAACAGGGACCCTCACTCTTCGAAGAACATGGTGCGGGCGGCAAACTTCTGCCACTCTGTGGCCTCACGGCGCAACGCGGTTTTCGAAAACCAAGCCATCGGGATGCCCTGCGCCCTGCCAAAAGGAAGTGTCCTACTCGCATTCCGAGTGACCGAGGACGGGGGTTTCGACAAGTCTAGGCGCATTTGCCGGGGTGAGCTCGCAATGTTTGAAGTTGCTACATTGACGAAGAGCGACACAAAATGATTGCATAACTTGGTCACAGGTTCAAAGAAGCGGTTGCTCAAAACTGTGAGCCAGCTTCTGATGCCCTCGTGCCCGTGCCTTTGTTCCACAGCTTCTGGGCCTGGTTGAGGATTCCAAACTTGACGGATCCAGCATAGAACACGTGAGGTTGACGGCACATGTCTGGTGCTTTTCGTGAACCCCCTCCGAGGGTCCATTCTGCACAGGTTGCAAAGGGCCCAAGAACGGGATAGCTCAAGCGGGGAACAATGCTGGCGGGCGTTTGTGTTGAATGCCTTCCGCCCTTTCTCATTGTCTGGTGAAACATGTATGCTCTGCCCGGAAGGAACTGCTGATTGCATAAATCCTGCCCCTAGCAGAACCGTGGCAAGCTCCGGCGCTTCTGCTTGCCTCCAAATTAGATCTGTCGCACAAAGACCGCAAGAAAGAGAAAAGTGGATGCATAGACTATCTGAGCAGGTTGCAACCATCAAAAACAGCAGTGGAGGCTATCATTGCATAGTGTAATGTTGAGGCTACCGTACCCCTTGATGCACTCACACTGGCCTCATTATTTTACCATGATGAAAGTCAACCCCTAAGTGGTGGGTTAAAGGGAAACAACCCCATTTTCTGACTTTGACAACCCCCAGAAACCGTCAAAATAATGACCCCAGTCACATGCCCAACAATTGAATGGGCTTCGTTGCGCCCCAGTTGGCGCCTCCGGCACGGCTTGTTGGCGGCAGACAGGGCACTCACGATGAGACTCCAACCAGCTATCAACGCACGCACCTCGGCCGATCCGGCAAGGATTGGAAACTCTGCCGAACATGAGTCTCGTCAGCGGCCGGAAGTGTTGGGCTTCAACTTTGTGCTTGCCGTTTGAAGCTTTTCCAAAATCGACACCCGGGCGCTGTGAAATAGGTGCTCACATGGAAGTCGGCGCACACGGCTCCCCAGCTCCAAGTCGCCCATGCAGACGACGCATAGCCAGCAAGCATCCTGTCAAAGTGGAAGTCTGTCCAAGTCAGATTGGAGCTTTGGGTCTGTGGCAACCGTTGGAATCCATGGATTAGTTTGCTCTCATGATTTGTAACTAGCAAAACCCTTGTGAAGATCAACTGTTGTTTTCTTCACCAATCCTGGAAAGACATGGGTATTTCCCAAAATCATGACCTCCTTCAGGTGGTTGCTTTCCTTTTGAAACCCCCAGATGGGGTCATGAATTTGCTCAAAAGGTCCGCTGATTGCCACCTAATCGACTTCAACCACTCCAGTCGTCGCCTGACCGATTTTTGGCCGGGGTACTCGAAAACAGCTTTCCCCGGCTAGCCGGTGCACAGCCCTTCGGAGGCACCTGGTGGACTCAATAGTTCCCACAATGTCAACGAAAACCACCGCCCACAAACAGGGACGCAGGGAAGGTGGTGTCGCTTCGACTAACTCTCCGGAAAAAGAAAAAAACAAAAAAGGAGGGAAAAAATGCGGGACTCGTTTCTCTCCAGAAGCCTGGCTTCTCACCATGGTTGGCCCATGCCAAAAGGCTTGACCCACGCCCTCGGATCGTCGGGGTCCTCGCCGCAGCACCTCTGGACTTCCAAGTCCAGGTGGCAGCCTCGGCTTTCTCCACTCGAGAGCCGCGGCTGCAAATCGGTCGGCCGAATCCGGGTTTTCCTGTGAAACCACAAAAGGAAAACCAGAACCAAAAGGGGGTATCCTCAAAAAAAGGAGAAAACGCCCAAATGTGTGCCGAAGCTGGAAGCTTTGCCTGTCTAACAGCCCTGCCGACTCAATTTGAAAACCTTAAAAAACAGACCATATGGCCATGAATTATAAGAGCTGGAACCACCTCACAAGTAACTTAACATGAATCTGACGTCCGTCAAAGGGCCCCCCCACTAAAATTCCTATCCAAATCCATCTAAATGACCTCCATTTCAATCCCCCCACTAAATTCATGTCCATATTTTTCTGTTTTTCGCGGAGATTCAGCCGAGGGTTTTGTCCCGTCGCCAGCTTCGATCCCGGCGGCGCTTCAGCTGGAAGCTGCGCGTGCTGACTTGGGACTCCAGCTGCTCAGGCACCGATTTCTCCAGCCTTGCGGGTCGCCCGCGATCCGTGCCCTTCTTCCCGCGCGCGTCGGCCGCGGGGGTTGAACGGCTTCCCCTTGGCCGCTCTTGAAATTTGATGATGTGCCACTGATCCTATGCGCGCTGTCAACAGGATGCCTACGAAACGGATACACCCAAAGGGATCATTTTGCAGTTTTGGTGTTTGGGGTCTCAGCTAAACCCCCCGCGCCTGAGGTCCGACCCCACCTCCCTCCACCAATGGACTAGAGAGAGAGAGAGAGAGACAGAGAGAGAGAGACAGAGTACACAGAGTGACTCAGATCGTGCGGCAAGAGGTTCTCCCTCCGAGAGGGAGGCGCAAGATTGGTCATGTCTCTGAAAAGCACAAGGATTTCAGGAGCTAAGAGGAATGGCAAAGCGTGCCGGTGGAGAATGATGATAAATAGGCTGCAATGCTGCAGCTTCCGCCAACCATTCACGCCTGCCTCAGCACAGTGTGTCTGTATAACATCTTTCAAAGGCGGATGTCCAAGCTGTGCATGTCTTCCAGCAAGTCCGACCACTCATTGTGGACGCTTGTGCCAACCGCCACCCCCGGCCTTCTCGTTGTTGGCAGTCTCAAAGCCTCGCGCTCGCATCGGCCGAAGGAAGCGCTGAACGCATCGCGCATCTCGCCAGTGGACGGAGTGCGACCCATGGAATCGCCATTTCACACGGAGCCAACTCGACCCGACACGCAGCTCATGGACTGTGGTGAGAAACAAGTCATGGCAAAAGTGGCCATAGATACACCCAGGGATCCCCTTAGTAAGGCCTTCATAAGGGGTTGTTCCTTCTGACAAAGCTTACACTTGGGTTTCCATAACATTCATCCCAAAGAAGCAGCAAAGGCGGGGACTTTGACGCTAGCATACCAACTCGTTCAGTGAATCTGAAGGAATCAAAAGCTTGCCAAGCAAGCAAGCAAGCTTGCCAAGCAAGCAAGCAAGCAAGCAAGCAAGCAAGCAAGCAAGCAAGCAACTCGAAATCCGCGCACGAAGAGGCCTTCCTTTCCCCAAGTTGCCAAGGAACGCGACCATGGCTGGTTGCCATCCAGGGAGAAAAAAAAAAGAAGAAGAAGAAAAAAGCCCCTCCGCCCTAAAAACGGCGGGTGGTTTTGCGCTGTGCTTCAAAGCCCTTTGACGCTTGCACCCCGAGCTTCGGAAGCCCCCCGCCCTCGAACCCCCGCCTCCGGATCGGGGTAGTATCTCCGCCACGTCCTTGGCTCATGGCCAGCTTCGGGCTCTCAGAGTGCCGTCAGTGGGCCCAGATGTTGTGTTTGTCATCAGGTCCATCAGGGTCAGTGGGTCCATCAGGTCATCAGGTTTGGTGATTGTGTTTTACAAAAACTGAAATTCCCCATGCCCCCCAATAGACAACTGGAAATTTGGACCGAACCTCAGTTGGGCCGATTCAGAGTCTGACCTTTCATCGAAGCTGTGCAAGCCTCAAGTCAGGCTGAGACTATTGGAAGCACCCAATCTGAGCTTGACCCTCTGCCAAGAAAATGTTGAAGCAAGCATCCAAATCAAAAGAGGCGGCATCAGCATTGCGAGGAGCACCAGAACAATCGCCGCGCAGAAGACTGTGCTGTTCAACTCCATCCCTCGGATCGGTCGCTTTAGCCACTCCACCATTGCAAGAAGCAAGACAAAGTCAGCTGATCCTGCTATGACTTGCGTGCTTCCATCCTGGAGACCAAATCCACCGCACCATGTCCAGACTCAGCTCGCCCCAGCAAGGAGAACTGCCGCCAAGAAGCCGCTGAATTTCACTCAGCCTTGGCCTGGCGCCAGGAATTCTTCGCCAAAGTGCAGCTTGCCCGAACCTTTGCTAAAAAATGTCTGGTACGGGGAACGCCACCAACAGTTTGGGCACCAACAGTTTGGAGAGGTGCCAATGGGCATGTTGACACGTTAAACACACACACACACACACACACGCACGCACGCACGCACGCACGCACCCACACACACACACACACACACACGCGCGCGCACACACATAGCTCATTTTGAGTCAAGCCCAGCCTCAGTTGTGGAAGCCAAGGTGCCATAACAGCCAAACTTGAGCCGAAAACGTTTCGGAGTGATCAAGTTTAGGCCTATCCTATCAATCCCGAACCAAATGGCGCGCAGAATTGCGCAAGGGTTTTTGCAGCGCAACTACCCCTGCAAAATGCTGGCCGTGGTTAACATGCTAACTTTCCGACTTGGCAGTGGGTTAAGTATGTTCGAAGGGGGAGCCAAACAACCTCAAACTTAACCATTGCCCTGAGGCAAATGCCTACATTCAGTCAGTCTGGACAAGCTCCCCCGAAGCTCGCAATAAATGTTTGCGGCTTACGAGAATCCTCTGCAAAGACCCCTGAGCAAACTGCAGGGTCAATAGTCCACGATCCCTCCAGAGGCTTTGGTTTTTCGTGGACCTTCGAGTAAAGGTCCTTTCCGCCCGCTTGCCCACTGTCACCCGAGGCCCTGGGTTGGGACGGGGTGGGGAGTGAGGTGCATGGCCCAAGCAACAGGATCAGTTTCGGACTTGGAGAAAGTCGACTCTACCAGTTTGCTGGCGAGCCACTCCAGGGTCTCTGCATGATGCGGGCCAAGTAGAGCCTTCCCATCTCAAAGGAAAGAAGCAAGGAAGAAAGCAAGGAAGAAAGCAAGCGCTCACAAGCTAGGAAGCAAGAAAGAAAGAAAGGTTGGCAAAGTACATTACCAAGTTGCAATTTCCAGAATTGAATACATGGAAAGACCAATAGAGAATGAGCAAATAACAAAGTTGCAGATAGTTTGGATAAAAACAGGCTCGGATGAAGAACAACATTTAGATAGAAAAAGCACAAGAACACAACAAAGAAAAAAGGAGAAAACCAGAGAATACAACGAGCATACAAAGACAATAATAAGTAAAATAGAACAAAAAAGGAAACCAGCAACTGTAAAATAACAATCAAGCAAACAAACAGACAAACAAACATAAAAATCGAAAGACCCACAAACAAACGAGCACGCAACAAGCAAATAAACAACAAACAAACAAAAACAAATAAACAAACTAACAAACGAAGAACAAACAAACACACAAACAAACAAACAAACAAACAAAAAACAAGCAAGCAACCAAACAAGCAAGCAAACAACCAAGCATACATACATACAGTACAGTACAGTACAGTACATTACATTACGTTACGTTGCGTTACGTTACGGTACGTTGCGTGACAATACATTCATTGCATTACATTACATTACATTACATTACATTACACTACATTACACTACGTTACGTTACGTTACATTACATTACAGTACATTACATTACATGTATCTATGCATGCATGCAAGTATATGCGTAGCTACATACATGCATATCTGCATACATACATTGCACATACTACACAAGTGCATTGTATTGCATTGCATAACATTTGGCATTAATCAGTCGTTGTTCCGTGGCAGATACCTTCGGGGGAGTCTACGTGAAGAATACGCGCCTCATCTGCAAGATGTGCAGAGTCATTTACACTGCGTGTTTCAGGCTGCCAGCATTTATGCTATGGTCAAAAGAGCCTGCTTGCTTGGGGTGTGTGAGTATTGCTGATTAGGCGCTTATGCGTCTTGGACAGCCATTCTGAGGCTTGCTGTTCAGGGAACCATGGTCGCCCCACATACATACATACATGCATACCTACATACCCATACCTACATACCTACATACCTACATACCTACATACCTACATACCTACATACCTACATACCATACATACATACATGCATACCTACATACCCATACCTACATACCTACATACCTACATACCTACATACCTACATACCTACATACCTACATACCTACATACCTGCATACCTACATACCTACATACCTACATACCTACATACATACATACATACATACATACATACATACATAATATGCATGAATACATAGATAAATACATTACATACATAAATACATCTATTACATTACATTGCATTACATTACATTACATTGCATTGCATTACATTATGTTATATTACATACATACATTACATACATACATACATGCATGCATACATACATACATACATACATACATACATGCATACCTACATACCTACATACCTACATACCTACATACCTACATACCTACCTACATACCTACATACCTACATACATACATACATACATAATATGCATGAATACATAGATAGATACATTACATACATAAATACATCTATTACATTACATTGCATTGCATTACATTACATTGCATTACATTGCATTGCATTACATTACATTGCATTACATTACATATTACATTACATTACATTACATACATACATACATTACATTACATTACATTACATTACATTACATTACATTACATTACATTACATTACATTACATTACATTACATTACATTACATTACATTACATTACATTACATTACATTACATTACATTACATACATTACATTACATTACATTACATACATACATACATACATACATTACATTACATTACATTACATTACATTACATTACATTACATTACATTACATTACATTACATTACATACATACATTACATTACATTACATTACATTACATTACATTACATACATTACATTACATTACATTACATTACATTACATTACATTACATTACATTACATTACATTACATTACATTACATATACATACATACATACATACATACATACATACATACATACATACATACATACATACATACATACATACATACATACATACATACATACATACATTACATACATACATACATACATACATTACATTACATTACATTACATTACATTACATTACATTACATTACATTACATACATACATTACATACATACATACATACATACATACATACATACATACATACATACATACATACATACATACATACATACATACATACATACATACATACATACATACATACATACATACATACATACATACATACATACATACATACATACATACATACATACATACATACATACATACATACATACATACATACATACATACATACATACATACATACATACATACATACATACACATACATACATACATACATACATACATACATACATACATACATACATACATACATACATACATACATACATACATACATACATACATACATACATACATACATACATACATACATACATACATACATTACATACATACATACATACATACATACATACATACATACATACATACATACATACATACATACACATACATACATACATTACATACATACATACATTACATACATACATACATACATACATACATACATACATACATACATACATACATACATACATACATACATACATACATACATACATACATACATACATACATACATACATACATACATACATACATACATACATACATACATACATACATACATACATACATACATACATACATACATACATACATACATACATACATTACATACATACATACATACATTACATACATACATACATACATACATACATACATACATACATACATACATTACATACATACATTACATACATACATACATACATACATACATACATACATACATACATACATACATACATACATACATACATACATTACATACATACATTACATTACATTACATTACATTACATTACATTACATTACATTACATTACATTACATTACATTACATACATACATTACATACATACATACATACATACATACATACATACATACATACATACATACATACATTACATACATACATACATACATACATACATACATACATACATACATACATACATACATACATACATACATACATACATACATACATACATACATACATACATACATACATACATACATACATTACATACATACATACATACATACATACATACATACATACATACATACATACATACGTCATACATACATACATACATACATACATACATACATACATACATACATACATACATACATACATACATACATACATACATACATACATACATACATACATACATACATACATACATACATACATACATACATACATTACATACATACATACATACATACATACATACATACATACATACATACATACATACATACATACATACATACATACATACATACATACATACATACATACATACATACATACATACATACATACATACATACATACATACATACATACATACATACATACATACATACATACATACATACATACATACATACATACATACATACATACATACATACATACATACATACATACATACATACATACATACATACATACATACATACATACATACATACATACATACATACATACATACATACATACATACATACATACATACATACATACATACATACATACATACATACATACATACATACATACATACATACATACATACATACATACATACATACATACATACATACATACATACATACATACATACATACATACATACATACATACATACATACATACATACATACATACATACATACATACATTAGATACATACATACATTACATTACATTACATTACATTACATTACATTACATTACAGTACAGTACATACATTACATACATACATACATACATACATACATGCATACCTACATACCTACATACCTACATACCTACATACCTACATACCTACATACCTACATACATACATGCATGCATGCATTACATTACATTACATTACATTACATTACATTACACTACATTACACTACACTACACTACACTACATTACATTACATTACATTACATTACATTACATTACATACAGTACATACATACATACATACATACATATATATATATACATACATAGATGCATACATGCATGCATGCACACATACATGCATAGAATATCTACCTGCAGGCATGCAAGCATACATAAATACAGCACATTCCATTGCATTTCATTACAGTACATAAAATTACATTTCATTACATCATAGTACATTACATTGTATACACACATACATTATTTACATACATTCATTCATTCATTCATTCATTCATTCATTCATACGTCACATACATACATTACAGTACGTTCGTTGCCTTCCCTTACCTTACATTACCTTACCTCACCTTACATTGCATTCATACATTAATTACATACATACAGCACATACAAACATAGTTTACATTGTATTGTATTACATTACATACATTGCATTGCATTTATTGCAGTACATTACATTATATATATTACATGACACTACATTACATTACGAACAAACAAACAATCAAACATAGTCACACGCAAGCAATTAGAATGAGAATAACAAAAACATGATTTAGAAAGCAAGCAAAGTGCTGGCATTTGCTGGAGAGTGCTAGTGTGCTGCAGTGCATTGGAGTGCGCTTGAATGATCAGTACAATGAATAGGCGCAAACTCCTGGACTTGCTGCTGGCATGCTTTCTATTCTTGATGAAATCAAATGGTCTGTTTTCTTGGAACATGTCGTACACTAGTTGATGTATAGGATACGCCTGACATGAAAAACAACAATGTGTGGAAGACTCGACTTGGAAGCGCTAGTTCTTGTTGAAGCTCCCACGAACGGCGCCGAGCATTTGGCAGATTTGATATGAACACCTTCCTGCGCCAATACCAGCGCTGTTCGGTCCAGGTCATTGCCTGGATGACTAGGGGGATAACAGTTCGTGCGGTCTCATGCGAAGAAAGGCGGGCTGAATCCCGAGCTGTGGCTGTGGCGGTACTAGAACCAATGGCGGTGCAAGGCGCATGATTGCTTGGAAGCAATGTAGTTGTGTCACGCCCCAAAATCCTGATTGGGCGCTTGCCAGGGTTGTGAATTCTTCTGTGCCGTTAGAGGCGGCATGACATTGAAGCGTGAATTTGGCTTCAGAAGGGATGAGCATACACAATCCTGCATGCCAAATCTCACAAAAACAGGAGGTGCCTTGCCAAACCCTCTAACTACATCTTACAGGGGCAGCCACATAGAGATTGCAAATAATGCAGCAAAAAGGCTTGTTGCACAGCATCCCTGCACACACGACCTGATGCTGCGATTGACAAAGGCCGAGCTGAACTTCTCTCATGTCCCGGTGTTGCCTCCGTGCCAAAATGAAGCTGCCGCAGCACTTTCTCCTCGGGCACCTTTATGGAGAGGTTGCGCCAAGCCTCGACAAAAGATTCCAGAGACGTCAAGGTGAAAACACCAAAGCAAAATGACCAAAACCCGAATGACTCTCTTCCCCGGTGAAATGAGACTTCCAGCTGTGTTTCCTGGCATTGGAGCAAGGTGGACGCGACGTCTGCTTTTACAAACCTTGCGATATTTGGAAGGAACAAGCTACACCATCAAAAGATGCGTTTGATTTGCCTGCCGCTGTGTTCTTCACCTGCGCTTGCTCTGCAAGCCTTCCACAGCAGCGCTGCCAGTAGCGCAGCCCCACCCACCCAAGTTCCTTCTTCTTGTGACTATCCTGTACTTCTTATTATTCTCATTTCCCTTCGTCTTGTTCTGCTTCTTCCCTTCTCCCCCTCCCGCCCCCAAAAAAACATGGCCAAGTCAAAAGAACAGGCGATTGTTCAGAGTGTGTGGGGGTGTGCGTGTGTGGAGGCGTTCAAATACCTGTGATTTGAACGCGTTTCACCCCACACTGAAAGGGCCGTGTCCTCCCTCGAGACCGCGATGAGGTTCTAATTGGTGGCCTAAACCGCGGTCCGCAAAGTAAATAACGTCTGTAGAAACAATCAACGCCGTACCCAAAAGTTGGGCGGTCAGTGCATTGATGGTGGGTAATCAATGCATGTCGGAGGAAGGTCAGGATTGTAGTCGAGGCATGGAGTGCGAGCATTTCTGAGCAAGATCGGGTCATCAAAGTGCGGTCGAAGCCCTGGAAGAATCAGTTCTCAGATCAAGACTCCCAACTCCGAGATCCGGACCCTCAGCGTATCGACATGAAGTCCAAGAGTGGCCTTGCAGGGATTGAGCGCGCAGCCATCAAATTCAATTCACAACCTCCTCAAAACAATTGTGCGACAAGCACCCCGGAGCATGATGCGTTTCATGTGGGCTTCACAATAGCCTGGGCCTGTAGAGATTCAAATCTTGAAAAGCCTGCCTCAGGTGCACTTGCAAAATGAGGCCCCGATGCCAACAATATTGACATGCATGTGGCACTGATGGTACACGGCAACAGTGAAGCGTCGATCATGGCTCGGACCTGCAAGTTCACGGCTTATACTGCATATATATATGTATATATTATATATATATATATATATGTATATATATATATATGTATTATATATATATATATATATATTTGACCCAAGGAAATGGATTTTGCGAAAGGGTTTGAAACAGAGTTTCGGGATGGATAAAACAGGCCCTAACCCACCAACAAGAAGAGACCACCTTATCCCCCCCGGTCCCAAGGGCAAAGCAGTTGCCCCCGGCCGGCACAAACACGAACCAAAAGGGTGCCAGTTGAACAAACAGAAGAATAAGCCCAGCAAGGGCAGACAGCGAGCGAAAGCAGAGCAGCAGCACCAACGCAGGCGAGCGGGCAAAGCACAGCGAGCAAGCAAGCAAACAATACGCACACTACCAAACCCCAATCCGACCTGCTCCACCCAGAAACCCACCGCAGCCGCACCAGCTCGATCTTTTCCAGGATCGGGATGGCGTGCCGCGCCGCGCGGTTATGGGCGACGAAAACAGCGGACAGGAAATGTCGTAGTGAAAAGCTTGAGCCAAATACCGCGTTGGGTAATGGCGTACTACAAACTGCTATGATAAAAGTACATGCCCCCAAAAACACCCCCCTCGACTGTACAAAGAGAAGGAGTGAATTTGGAAAGGCGCATTGGCCATGTTGAAGTTGAGTAGCAACAAACAAGGAAAAGCAGGAGATTAGGCTACCAGGGTTCACGACCCCACACCCGGGCTCGCATTGGAGCCCGGATCCCGCCACCACCCCGAATTACGGGTATGGGGCGGATTCTCGCCGGTAGCCAAATCAAACAAGAGAAAGCAACAAAAGAAAAGAACAAAGGATCAACTTCGGAATGGCCGGCATGAAGCCAAAGAATTGTCATTTGCATTGCAACCACATTGAATCATCAGATTCAAGTGGATTTACTGTTGAATTATTAGATTAGGCGCATTGGCCAGTCGGTTGAAACATGGTGCGTAGACTAATGAGCCTTGGTTATAAATTGGCACCGTCTAGGCGCGCGATCATTCGAGGACAATCGCCATGGATACCACCAGCAGCGAGTCTAGGTCCGAGTAGGACATCACCGGCAGCGGTGCAGGGCATCCGTGATCCTCACCTCAGCACCTTGATAAGCTCCATCACCAGCAGCAGCAGCGGTGCAGGAGGATGCAGATCACCAGCGGCCATAGACGCCGCCGAGGGTGACTGCCTTGCTGTGGCGACGCACACCTGACAGGTAATCGCAGCTTGCGCGAATAGCGCACAGCCACGCATGCAGTTGAATTCTGAAATGGCGAATAGCCCAGACAACGAAATACGACAAGGAGCATAGTCCATCCTGTGAATTCCGAAATGAAAGCATGCGCGCGTTGGCGCAGCCATGCAAAACACACAGACAGACTTCAGGTATTACCGATGTCGTCCGCCGCCGTGCCGTCCCTTCCCCTTGTTGACATTCCAGTCCCCAGGGGGAGGAGGCACGGTTTCGGCCAACTCGTCATCATCACCCCAGGTAGGGGTATGCGGCGAGTTCGGATTCTCGAACTCGCGGGGATCACCCTGCATATGCGGCTGCCAACCCTGCGGCATTGCGCCGGGCCACATTTGCGGCATCATGCCAACCATGGGCTGTTGCATGTATCCTCCCATCGGGAAATTGGGATACATCGGACTTGGGAACGGGAAAGGGGCAGCCTGTGCGCCCTTGTACCCCGACCCGCGAGCATCAGGCTGATACCCGCCAGTGGGAGTTCTCGATCTGGCGGATCCGCCACGACCGTACTGCCCGTGTTGGTAGCCGTATTCTTTGTACTGATCACCCTTGTGACCCTTGCCTGAAAACTGGTCACCTTTGTGACCCTTGCCGGAGGACTGGTCACCCTTGTGACCTCCACCCTTGGGCCAGGAGTGCGCAGGGGCTTTGCCCTTTTGCTGATCTCCCTTTTCCCTGTAGTCAGGTCGCGGGGTAGCTGACCGATGATCTCCCCTAGGAGTGGCTGCCCGCCTAGGTGCTTCCCAGACGGCGGGTCAGCAAAAACAATGGCGCTTTGGCCGTCGCGCTGTGCAGCGGGGACCATCTCAACCTTGTTATTTTCGACATAAATGTATGCCTCAGCATACTCAATCGGGGCCGTGATGGATCCACCACCGGCCCGCAGAGAGTCGATACTCAAATCGAGAACTGTGGAGGCATCAAAACTTGGGTCCTCACTATTGAAGTCCGAGAGGCGTCGCTCAGCCTGTACCAATGACATTATAATGTCCGCACGTGAGGCGCCTAGGCCATACAGTGGAACCAAATATCCGTCCTCAATCCCGATGCGGTAGGCATCAAAAATATGCACAGAGAGGTAAAGAGCAAATGCTGAATTTAGACTGCCCTTTCTCGTCATATGACGACCCCATTGCGCCGCCTGTTGCGGGCGCTCGACCAAATATGTCATGACAGACATATTGTCGGGAATTGGGACGCCAGTATTGCTCTCCTCGATGAGCAGCTGTTTTGCTACCCACCGCTCGAGAGCCTCGTCACTCGCACGCACACAAGCGTGGGTGTCCCTTGAGGTGACTTTCACAACCTCCTGAAACGCAACCTGCACGGTATCCGCATTGGGATTGTGCACAAGATGAGGCGCACAGCGCAAACCGGAGATCATACAGCTGACCACCTCGCGGATCGGGTTTACCGACGCCATGAGAGGAGCCCACACGTCAGTCTCCCCTTCATACCAGCTGTTGGCACGGACTGCCTTGAGTCCGTCCAGCCAAACTGGCTGCCCTCTCCTAACTTGGGAGCGGATGGTGCCTGGCACCCATTCTCGATAGAAAATCGGCAAATGGCAACCATTGCATAGAATGGTGCCATACATATTCAAATGCGCGCACCGAGGGCACCAATAGTCATGCATGGGAGCTTTGTCCCATGAAAATGACACCCCTCTCCGCGGTCCCTGGACATTCAATTCTCGGACCGCCCAGGGACGGATGTATATTACATCCCCTTCCTGGTGCAGATAACATGCGCGCCAGAAGGGCGCATGTATCTCCTCTCGCACAGCAATCAAACCGCGTCGGGTTTTATAGATGCCGGCGGCTTCCTCGATGGCCATCCACTTTAGGTCAACGGCCACGACGACATGGCGCTTGTCCATGTATTTGACGCGATCGTCAACATAAAATTCGCCCTCATTATTGGGGCTTGGCAACTTGAGGAGAGGCACCTTTGCGCCCTCCAACCCAATCATGATCTCCCCCCTGCAGACCTGCTCAGGTCGCATGGGGAAAACTGTGATGGCGAATTTGCCGGGCCTCCGAATGCACCTCGTTTTGAGGGCGGACCGATACTCGGCCATCGTCAGCAGCACGTATCCCGTGTAAGGGACCTCCGCTGCTCCCAACGGCCTAAGCAAAGGCCCCATAGGCGTTCGGTCACGCAGTGCCCAACGCTTGAAAACTTTGAACGGCACGTCCCTCCCGATTAGGGTGGAACGCGCAAAAAGCACCTCATTCGGGCGCACAGTCGAGCCATCTCCCCTCCAGACTGTCCGTATTAGGAGCTCGACTGGAGGGTACGCTGGGCTCTCCTTCGCGAGAGAACCCGCCCAGGTCGCCACCTCGACACTCGTGCACTTATGGATCCCGTATAGGGCCTCAAAAAGCGTTGAGATTAGAGTCATTGACATCCAACCTCCCAGAATGTCTGGAACCGTCCCACACAAGAAGGGAGCCGGCTCACCGGGCTTCACGTTCAACCGCGTTGGGTCAGTGTTGCCCGACAAAATTTCTAGCAGCATTTGCGACTCCCTGGAGCTTCGCCCAAGCATCGCCGACGTATCCTTAATCTCGGGGAAAAAATGGAAGATGTCGTTACCGGCAGGACAGGCGATTCTGCCTGCTGTCCCGCTCTGTGCATCAAACACAACCTCTTCACCCTCGTATGTGAGGTTGTAGGTGCTCGCAATCGGGCACACATCGGGCTTTGCCATCAGTGCATCCTCTAGCGACGCACCAGCAGGGAGGACGCCCTGTTCGTGCGCTTTGGCACCTATGGGACCAGTCTTCGCTGACATAAGCCGATAATTTTCGGCACGAACGTATGGAAATAGGTTTTTCATCCTCTCAACTGTGGTGCTCCACGCCTTCGCCTCATAGTAGGGCGGCTCCTGCTTTGAGGGCACTAGGTCGCGGTCGCCCATTGATGAGAACTTGTCCACATATGGGCCCATCCCATCATCATCTACGTGACCCTCGTGATCCTCATCCGAGACGTACTCCCTGGGCTGCTCGCCCAGAGCGTCCAGATCGACCTTACCAAGGTCGACCAACGCCGGAGAATCCAGGATTCTCTGGATCCTCATGAGCTCGTTTCTGAACTGCTCAAAGCCTCCGGGCTTTCCAGTTACGGAGGTCGGCATTGCGCCCTCCCATGAGTCTGGAAACAAGCACACATTCGTAGGGGAATACTCGTCATCGGAAATATCCCGATCACGCTCCCGTACATCGCTGATCAGTGTCACATCCAACAAGCCGCTTAGGGCCTCAGGACGCGACGCTTTCGCCGGATGCGGCTTTGCGCTCTTTGACGCTACAGCAGCCTCTTTGGTTGCTATGTTCTTCTTCTCATCGCCCTTACTCCCCTCTCTATCCACATCCATCGCGGACGGCTGTGCGCTCCCCTCCGTCCCGCCCATTGGTGGTTCAGGGGGTTGGACAGGGGACTCCTTCGTGCGGGCTTTGCCGAAATACTGTCCTGGG